ATCACGAAGAGCCCAGTTGGACTATCTATACCTCACTAAGGAGGTCAATTTAGCCACTGACAACTCTACGGACTGATGCCATATTTCGATTTGACCACCATTAACACTTTTACAACATAGTCCTACTTCAGCTAGTATCACCCGTTTTGGAGGGTGGTGACTTTACATTATTATTATTATTCCCTTCGGTTGCGAATGGAACATATTTCTTCAACAACACATCTCCACTTCGTTCCATTTTCTGCTGTCCTCTTCATATGGCTGGTTCCACGATCGCCCATAATCCCCCATCTCCTCCTCTTTCCCGCCACACGATCTTCTCCATGTCACCCTCAAACTGACGACCCACTTATCGCTTCCTATTGGGATTCTACTTGAGCGATGGCCTGCATTGGGTGCGATGTTATTCGACGGCCTCCTCAACGTATGCCCGATCAATACATCTCCATTTTCTTCTACATATTGGTGATTTCACATGCCTAGCACGTATTATAGTCATCCTAATCAATGAGGTTTCACAGACCCATCGATTGACTCTCCTAACGTAATCTTTAAAAATTATATTGAACGTATGTTAGACAAAAGTAAACAGAAGCAACTATGGTCAGAAGCCACTGATATTTTCATCTTTTTTTCACCTGGACTGAAAATGTTTCACAGCTGTAAAGTAGAATGGAGTGAGTTGTTGCACAGTGGATACATCCTTAAATGGATAGCCAGATATCATATAAGCGTAAAACACTACTCATGTTGACAAGTATCCAAACAGTCTATTAAATCCGTGATGAAACTTATTCATCAACCAGTACATTATGACTGATACGGCTCACTGAATAAATATGATGGTCCAAGTTTGACCACGGATTAATATCAGTCAGAGAACCTGTTGAAGGCTAGGGACAGGTGTTTCGTCCTGGTTCGGGAGTCATCATCGGTATACACCCACTGGTATTGGAACCCAGGACTTTCTAGTTACAAAGAAGGCTCGCAGACCATTCAGCCACTGGGACCCAATCCGGTGACCAGTCTATGAATTCTAACTTCTATCAATTCGTGATTTTAGCGAGACCACCAGACAGTGTCGTAGGCGAGTATTTGTCCTCACTCCTGGTCTGATGGATCCCAATGATCATGAGTTCTCAATGAAACTCTGGCTTTCCGGTGCTCCCTGGTGATTTTCAATGCTTCTCTAACTAATATAGATCCCTACTAACTGACTAGTGAAAGTATTATGGTTAACACATAAAGAGATTTCGATACCTATCTTTGAAATAGGGAGTTACATGTCAAAGGCACACAGGTGTTCTATAAAGGTTCTCAGAAGACTATGCATTTTATCACAGGTTTCACCCAAGCTGTCAAATGGAACGCGAATGGGAAGCGGCGAGTTGGTTGTCAGTGCGACGGTGAAATGGAGGAGGTCATGTGAAGAGGAGATGAAATCATATGGGCAGACTTGAAGCCAGATGAAAACGTTGGTGGAGAACCAAACGCAATCGAGACGTGTCGTCGAAGACCTATGTTCCTCTAGGAACTAAGGAGACGATAATAATAATAATAATGTGATAATATGTATGTCCAGCATCAACCGGATACTTCACTAGTCTTTTGAACAATGAATTCCACCAGGGGAGCATTCATCAGTTCATTGACTTAGTTTCAACACAGAACTTTGCAGCAGTTCAAATCGCCACACTCCATGTAGCACAAAAAAGTAGACAAAGGAGAGGAAAAAGAACTATAAGGAGCACAAATATACAGAATAATAAGGTGGTAACATGGATGGACATGACAGTTTAACGGTCTTCGAGAGATTATTATCTATTTATCACGTTCCCAGTGGAACATAAGGCACCTTCAAGCTAAAGACTTAAAGTTTCGGTAGCAGTGGTTTTTAATTTTTTTTACGGGGTGGGGTTGCTAGCCTCACCGACTCACATTTATCAATACATAGAAGAAAATCAACTAAACATCGGATTACCGACGACTTGTCTAAAAGAACTACTGCTGAGATGTACACTCAATGTACAATTCACATTCAACGAGGTTATTTACAGACAACAAGATGGGATCGCAATGGGATCTCCACTGGGCCCATTACTAGCAGACTGCTTCATGGTAAGCCTCGAGAACGGCCCACTCAAATCAACTATTGACAATTTCCAACTGTATTTTAGATATGTGGACGACAACTTTATTATCTGTGATGACGGCCGCGATCTCAATCAGTTACTGCAAATATTCAACAAATGCCATCCAGCCACAAAGTTCACTCTTGAAATTGAAAATGAATCTAAAATTCCTTTTCTTGATGTTGAACTTACAAGGAGAGCTGACGGAACTTTAAGAAGGTCCATCCATAGGAAACCCACATGGAACGGCCAACTGACAAGCTTCTACAGCTGGGTACCAATCAGTCGGAAAAGAAACTTAATTAGATCGCTTGCCGCTCGCGTCCAAAGCATCTGCAGCTCAGATACCATGGAAGAAGAACTAAACTTCCTCAAAGAAACCTTCATAAAAAACGGTTACTCATCAAGATTCGTGGACAAAAACATCAAACAAAAAATCCAAAAGCAAGAAACAGCATCTGTGCCAAAAAAGATACTTTATATGAACCTCGGCTTCAAGGGAGACCTACTCAGTGATGTCCTTAGGAGGAGAATCTCCACCTTTTTAAGAAGAACTTTCTTTGCGGCAACATTGAGAGCAGTCTTCTCTAGTCGCCCGCTGATCTGCAGAAACCCAAAAGACAAGATCCCGCAACTGACCACTTCTATGTGTATATATCAGTTCATCTGTTGCTGTGGAGCCAGGTACATCGGTCGTTCAACGCGTATGCTGTCAAAAAGGGTCAAAGAATACTATCCAGCGTGGTTACAGAAACGAAGTAATGGCTGCATAAGGAGTGCAATAATCGAACACCTCGTCAACACTGGTCATTCCATCTCAACAAATGCCTCCTTCAAAGTAATCTACAAAGTGAAGAACAACCTTCCAAAGACAGTACGATTCCGTCTTCTTTGCATCACAGAAGCCCTAGCCATTAAGCTAGAGGAACCAGAACTGTGAATACAAAAGAAAATAAAATTATTCAACCACTTCTAATCCCATGGTAACAACTGTGTTGATTTGACTTAACTTTTCTTTGTTTGTTTGTTTGATTTGACTTGACTTTTGTTTGTATGCTTATTTTTCTACTTAAAACCCTTGTGTAATTCCGTATATTTTGTTTCCATGTACACCCTGAGTACAACTCTTTCATTAAACAATTCATGTTATTACGCAACTCTTCTTTAACAATCGTTTGTGACAACTCATCACTTTTGTTACTACCTTCTTATATCAACATCCAACTCACCTGAACTTAATAATTGTATTTTCGTTTGACAAATTTAATGTGCACACAAACATACAAAACAACCATATATATTTGCGATTATACAGCTATGAAAATGACTTCGCCGAAAAGAGACTCTTCGCTGAAATATCTGAATTATCACAATTTGTGTGCATTACAGATTAAAAAGGCGTTGGTTAAGTGTTTGTTCAAGCACATTCACTGTATATTTACTGCCGATACAAATGAAGAAGTAAGACAACACCTCACTGAAATATTGTTAGATAACAATTACACACTGAGATTTATTAGGCGTTACGGAAGTGTCAAGCATAGAGCTCTACCAATCCAATCCGTTCAGAGGTGACCAACAAAGTCTAGTCACTAGACAAAGACTCAAGGCCAACATAATTAGAATTTATTATGCAGCTTAACTTATTTTCATAGAGAAAACGAGGACTATGCTGTTCTGTAAACCCTCACATTATCCGAACGATAGTATCACATCCTACTGTGTTTATCAATTTACATGTGTGTGTGGAGACACACGTACATAGGGAGGACCCATCGGTCACTGCAGGTCAGGGCTACAGAACACATTCCAAAGTGGCTGCAACAACAGATAAAGTCGCCGGATACAACTGACCCCAGAAATAGATGTCCAACATCATATATAGTGAAGCACATTATGGACACGGGTCATAAGGTTGATTTCGACAATGCCTTCAAGACCATATAAAAAACAGGATTGGGCCACATACTTAAATCCGTTGAAGCCTTGGCCCAAAAAATGGCTCAAACTTGTCTTATGAGTCCAAAAGTTATTTGTTATTACTATAAACCTGCCTTGGTAAACCAATTTAGAACAAAAGACCAATTTACTTCATGATATTTTCAACCACTTATTTGCCTTGTTTTTCTCCTTTTGTCTTTCTTACCCACACCTTTGCGTCAGCCTACCCATTATTTGTGACCTTGACTTTTACACAATCTGACCTGTATTGTGATTATTCATACCTTCTTGCCTTCTATAAAAACTGTGTATGACAAGTACTCGTGTGTGTGTGTGTGTGATCAGAATGTCTGAGATGTGTTGCGCAAATACATTACACGTTTCAGATAAACTACGTCTTCTTATTGTGTTGTCGAAATTCATAAAGGGAACTAATTGCAATCAGTAGAAGCTAATAGGCGTAACTGTGTTTCAGTGGTTTCGAGGTAAAATGCTCGTTATACCACGCACATTGTTCGAGGTTTGATTCCTGGACAATGCGCTACTAAACCCGCAACCGGACGGTAGAGAGAGCCCAGCGAGGAGGGAGGGAGGGACGTAGGGCTAACAACTCGAGCCGGTAAAAAAGCAGGTCTAATGAAAACTTGAAGGTCTCAAGCATGCCGAAGCACGTTGCACTAGGAAATCAAGAAGTGTAAAAAATGGCAAACCAATAAGAATTCAACAAGTACATAACCTGCAGTGTCTCTTGTAGATTACGTATATCTGGAGCAGAGTAAAAACCGCTCAAACCATGCTCTAAATATTGACACAAACCTACTGAGTTCTAAAATATCAATAAACAAAGGCAAATGACATTTTACCACAGAACATTAATCACTTAGCCTTTCGATTTCAGCGGAAAAACTGGCGGAAAAAGCAGTTCAAATGACAATACAACGACTAAAAGAAATAATCGCAGTGGAACCAAACATTCTATCGACAAAAACAGAGAGCGACCCAGATGTTTCAGAGACTGAAAGAACACAAAAGTCACAGATCACAGAAACACAGCACAACACGGAGACACAAAAAGTGTCTTATGCTCAATCTGGTCAGATCGTCGACTACACCAGACAGTCACAACTCAGAGACATGCAAGCCAACACTGATCCACACAAACTGTCCTATGTTCAATCTGGCCAGATCGTCGACTACACCAGACAGTCACAACTCAGAGACATGCAAGCCAACACTGATCCACACAAACTGTCATATGCTCAATCTGGTCAGAATGTCGACTACACCAGACAGTCACAACTCAGAGACATGCAAGCCAACACTGATCCACACAAACTGTCCTATGCTCAATCTGGTCAGATCGTCGACTACACCAGACAGTCACAACTCAGAGACATGCAAGCCAACACTGATCCACACAAACTGTCCTATGCTCAATCTGGTCAGATCGTCGACTACACCAGACAGTCACAACTCAGAGACATGCAAGCCAACACTGATCCACACAAACTGTCCTATGTTCAATCTGGTCAGAATGTCGACTACACCAGACAGTCACAACTCAGAGACACGCAAGCCAACACTGATCCACACAAACTGTCCTATGCTCAATCTGGTCAGAACGTCGACTACACCAGACAGTCACAACTCAGAGACATGCAAGCCAACACTGATCCACACAAACTGTCCTATGCTCAATCTGGTCAGAATGTCGACTACACCAGACAGTCACAACTCAGAGACATGCAAGCCAACACTGATCCACACAAACTGTCCTATGCTCAATCTGGTCAGAATGTCGACTACACCAGACAGTCACAACTCAGAGACATGCAAGCCAACACTGATCCACACAAACTGTCCTATGCTCAATCTGGTCAGAATGTCGACTACACCAGACAGTCACAACTCAGAGACACGCAAGCCAACACTGATCCACACAAACTCTCCTTTGCTCATTCCGAACAATTTTTCGATCTCAGGAGACATTCACATAACACGGAATTAGATACTATTACTGAGTATGATATTGTTCATTTCGGTGGGAGTGTATTATCTTCCGCAGCTTTCTTTGGTGACCCTGAGTCGAGCTTTGATTTGGATACGAGAGCTTCTTTGTATTCCGTCGAGACATTCACCAAGCTTCCTTTAGAAACTTTAGGCCGAATCACTCCAAATCCTTCTGAATATGGTGCTATAACTCATAGGTTATCTCGGGATAATGTCGACCGTCAGTCAAGGAAAGGGTTCTCTATCTGTTCACAGAAGCAACCCTACATAATTTCCGATAACCAGCATGTTGACAACTGTTCCATTCCTAAACTAACACCAAAGTCTTTATCTTTTGCAAGCAAAGACTCTATTTGTCGTGGTTCATTTGTTCAAGCATCACATGAAACCAATGCTTCTACTGAGGATAGATCTCTATATACAAAGAGTATTTCTAAGTCAGTTTCACTTGTTGAATCGAACATATCACCGGAGAATATGATAAATTTGACACCGATGAACAATGTTTATCCTATGTTAGACAGAAATATCCTGTTAGCCGGTGAACACCAGTCTCAAAGTACTTCAGGCCTGGCATTCTCCAGTCAATTATCACCTCCTCCTCCTGAAAGTGCAAAAGTGATTAACTCCCATGGACAAGACGAACAACATCAGTTAACTTGTCATCATCCAAACTGTAGATATTATCAATCTCCAAGAATGATGGATAACTACTATCCGAGTGAATATCAGTCAGCTATGCTTGAAGGTGAAAAAATGCTCAACCATATAATGAGACCAAACCCAACACTGTCCACTGATAAACATGAAAATCAATGTGATTGTAAATCTTGTCGTTTGACCAGGCGATATCAAAACAGCATTCCGGCATATCTACCTGAAAGATACGATGATACCTCGGATGAAGTGAATGATTTCTCTGAATTTCAACAAATCACTATGGCACTGTTGAATACACTTATGGCGACAACTGAAATGTTACGTACACAACTGAAAGTAAGGCAAGCAGCTCTAGCATCACGAAAATGTTGCAGTAATAGACAAGTAGCTAAAGACAGAGACAGATTTGCACAGACTCAAGGATGGAATGAAAATGCCATGTGTAATATTCTAAAAGTTCAACATTCTTGTAGTGAAGAAGATTCTAATGAAGATAACTTGACTTTATCGATTTATAGAGCAGAGGACAAAGGCATCAGATATCGACAAAGTGGACAATTAACACCTCTGTCTATTCAGTATCATCAAAACATATCCGAGAAGAAGAAGAAGAAGATAAAGGAGAAGAGGCCTGCTACCAGTACTACTAACACTCCTTACCCCATATCAAGTAGGAGGATTAAGGAAGATTCTGTGAACTGTAGTAGATTCATTACACCAATATTAAAAAATTCTTCAACAAAATATATTCAAACATTATCTTCAGATATACTGAAAACCAATGCACAGAGAATAAATCATGATTTACATCGAAATGGAAATGGCTTAAATTTGCGAAACAATTTCACATCGCATTTGTTTAAATCGACCAATAGAGATTTAAATTCGAAAGCGCCAAAAATGAACATTCATCATCATCATCATGATCATCCACATCTGCAACATAATTTAAACAAAAGGAGTGTATCATTTGAAAGGTATACTGATGACAACTTATTTAAGAATATTGAAAATACAAGAAAACAAGAAGGAGGAGGTCACGTAACTAAAACAAAATTATTGTGTACTAATTGTCATCAATTGTTAAATTTCTATTGTAAGCCTGAAAGCAAATGTCTGTGTTGTCAGAAGAGCATAGATATCTCATTGTTGACGTCATCATCCTTGTCGACAACATCGTCTACACTTGATTCACAGTTTGTTTTAATTAATCGTAAAGAAGAGAGATATCAGATTGCTTCGTCACCGTCACCATCACCACCAACATTAACAACAGCAACAACAACGATGTCGTTTACATCGACAACTTCAATGAAAACTATTTTTCACTCAATACCCTGAGATACGTACGAGTCAATCACTCCCCCATATTCAGATTAATACTGTCTGATAACAGAATATATCAATTATGATTATTATCAATATTACTAATAACATTACCACTAGTATCATTACAATACTACCTAATGTGTCATGTTTGAATGAGTCAGAGAGGAGAACAGTTCACGCACACACACACACACACACAGACAAACAAACAACCACCCTCGTCAATTCCTTCATAATTCATAAATAAACAGAAAGCATGAATCAAAATGAAATAAATGAGAGAAAATCAAAGGATACATTTGCAGTCCTTATTTCGGTAAGTTATATAATTATGTCCAAACGAAGTTCACTTTTAACAGTTTGAAATAGTTTGGGCATTGGGTATATGCGATATTCATTATAATAAAGGTTGCTTTTGTATTTCCCAATGAATGAGTGAATAATAATAATAAGAGCAAAACGACATTGCTGTCGTTGTGTTTACTGACGTTTCGCTATTTAATGCTGCTTCTAATAGCCTGTATCAAAGTATTATTAAACCAGAAGAGTTTAAAAAATCTCAGCTTATATGAAAACAAATTAGCCATCTTTCCTCGGCATTGGGTCATTCTGCTTTGTCAAGTTGGCCAATTGGTAGAGATAACAAAACCAGGTGTAGACTACTGGATTCGATAAGTGTGCAAAATTATCAAACAGTGTGTGTTTACATAATGATGGCTGATGATTGTTCGAGCTTTTCTAGTTCAGCTGGATTTCTCGATGGTCGAACAGATGCTCTGCTCTACGGTGTTCATTTCTTCTGATTTTGATTTCTCTCTGAAGATAATTGTCTGATGTATATCGCATCTCATTCCAAGCATTTCATTTTATAGACACAATTAGATAGAAAATCTTTAGGGAATTGGTCGTTTATATAGACAAGGTTGCTTTGTAGTGCGTGTGTATATTTTCCATATTAGTTTGTTTATTAGGTATATCACACAATTGATATGATTATGAACAATAAATTTTGTTCGAAACGTCATCCAGTAAATAATACTGTTTCACTGTGTGATATACCTAATAAACAAACTAATATGGAATTACTTACTACCACAGTGCCCAAGTTTTACACATATATTAATATGACATGTGTATATTTTATTGTATATTATAAGTCACAAGGAGTCAATGGATCTGCGCCATCACTGAGGACGACTTTTAGGCATATCACCAGTTGTCTACAGCCTTCACTGGGTTTTACCATCCTGATGACCACAACCAGCCTGGCGGTCTACACCTTCCTACGTGGCTGACTAAAACTAACTGCTATGAGTTTCACTGACTGATGAAGCCATCTTCTGGTCTAACCACCATGTGCTAACTCTTTTCCAACCTAATCGATCCTGTGTCAGCTAACATTACCCGTTGTTGAGGAAGGCGATGATGACTAGGCATGTATGCTTAACACATGCCCTAACCATCTCTCTCAATCGATGTAACCACACAGCCTCGTCGACTGATTTTCACTCCTTACCCAACACTCGACGTCTAACATCCCCATTACTCACCCTATTATACCACCACCTTACACGGGAGATAGAACGCAGACGAAATGCAAATTATTAAGAATAAATTTAATAATAATATGTAACATAATTGGATGATTCCATCTGAGATATTAGAAAGTGAACAGAGTGAGTTGGTTATATTAGACTGCAGAATAAAACGGAAACAAGATGGTGGGTTAAATGCTACTAGCATTTATAGGAAATTGACACACACACTCTAATAAATACTTAGACTTTAATTCATCCCATCGAGAATCGGTGGTAAAGATAGGTTCAGTTAAACGTCTGTATATTCGGAACAAGAGCCTACCTAGAAAGCCAGAAGATTTAAATTACAAAATCAAAGAAATAAAAGAAATATTACTAGTGAATCACTGACTACCCACTAGAATTCATTCAGAAATATGTGGAGAACCATAGCAAAACCACAATTATCAGTAAAAATGACGAAAATAGTATAAAATTCAAAGCCTCTGTAGTTCTGCCTCATAGAGAAGTAACTACAGAGGCCTCACGTAGGATTCCCAATGAGGCTAGAGTTAGGGTGGCATTTAAACCAACCAGCCAATTCTCTTAGAGATAAACTCTGTCGCCTTAAGGGCCCAATAGATCAAACTACGAAAAATAATATAATTTACCAAAGAGTATGTAATGCTGTCTGTGGGACCAATTACATAAGTGAATCAAACTAGTAGATCAGGGTCAACCAGATTGTTGGAACATAAAAATGTAGCTAGATCAACAATGATTGACTCTGCTAAGTTAAATAACCTAGAAAAAGCCTCGACCATTGCACTGCATTCACTTGCATGTAATCACGAAATAAGGCGGTCGGGCAGGGTGAGGGTATCAGAAATTAGTATAGTTAGGTGGGGAGAGAGAGAGGTTATTCACTGAAGCTTTGTTTATCGATTCAACACAGTACACGTGCAATCGGAATGATGCAACGCCGCCTATACCGGAGATATGGAAAGTTGCAACAAACAACAAAGGGAAGTTGGAGAGATAGAAAGAGAGAAAATATATATCAGACAAAATGTGAAAACGTGTGACTATATTGACATGATTATGAACAGCAACAATTTATCCTCGAAACCACCTTGTCATCCAGTTATTAATACTGTATCATCACTGTATGATAATTAAAATAAACTTATCTAATATGGAATTATATTCTACCACCACAGTGCCCAAGTTCTATACTTACGTTAATAATTAGATGATGGCTTGAATTTCCGAGGTATTGTAAATATGATATTGTCATGCATTTTGTCGTTGTTGTCACAGCTGAATCTGACTCACTTTATGTGTGTCTCAGTGTTGGTTGGCTGTAGTGGCATCGGTGGAGGCGCATTCAATTCTCAGATTAAACGAATCCACAATACGGTCAGTATCACTTCTTCATAAAACAGACACTCATGACAATCCCACCAGAGGTCGAATATAGGACTCACCTTCGCATTACAAGACAACCCCGTTAACAGTTCAATCTCTCGGTGGGAATCCGATAGTTACATGAATTTTAACTTGTGCTATTATCAATCCGTGATCTATTTTATTATAATTATCTATTTTATTCCTTTATGCTCCCAGTGAAACATAGGACACCTTCAAGCTGGAGGCTTGAAGTTTCGGCAGGAGTGGCATTTTCAATTTTATGGCATAGGGTTGCTGGTCAGCCTTATACCAAATCTTTCTTCTTTACCACTCTAATCACTAGCTCAGCGAGGTAAAATGGTGCGTCAGTGGTCGGCGATCGAACCCCGAACCACGTGTGGCATGTTTGGCGAGCATTCTACCACTGTGTCACCAACGCATATCCGCGATCTAACATGGAATTAATTAGATAACTACACAGCTAACACATATTAAACCACAATGACATTAGTTTCGAGTTTTTCACATACATAAATTGTTAAATTTATCTATTTCTGATTTCAGATGATTACAGAGAGTGAGTGAGTGAGTCAGCACACATTTGCCTACTTAAATATAAGATGATTCCGTGAGAAGTAGCTCTTATACAAGAAGGAGCATTTACCAACACGGCCATCAGCAAAATGCGCACAATGTGTTCACAGACATTATAGTCTTTTCCAAGATTGAAACAATAATTATTATTTTTTTTTATTTATTCATTTGATTTCATTCTTCTTTCAAGCATATACTACTTATACATACATATACTACTGCTAATATGACAAGAATTGAATTTCACTCAACGATTGCCTTTCAGTATTTTTAATTCTCATATCATTTGCATTATGTTGTATTCCTTTTGTCAGCTTCCTTAAAAAGGATGAAATTACGTTTTTCACTTATTTCTGCTAGTTACACTGTTAGCTTCCAGCCTTCCTTCCTTCCTTCATACATTCCCCTTTGAAAGTTTTGTAAGAAATAAATAAACTTATTTTGAATCATAATTGCACAGAATTTTCTCTTAATGATAATGATGATGATGTGTAGTGGAGAAGAATAATTCTTGTAATTTTAGATGGATGGATGTTGTTGTGTTTGTCTTGTTTTTCTTCAATATTATGCTTGTTGTTGTTGTTGGTGGTGGTGGTGTGTTGCCTCCCTCTCAGGAGGATTGTTGATTTAATGATTGATTGAGCTTTGATTGTCCACCTTCCAAGATAACACAACGACTTCAGGGCATGCATTTCAAATAATAATAGTGAGTGATGTGAGCTTTGGAAATCTATCATAGATGAATGGATCCAGTTGTCAAATATGTGGAGTGTAGGTCAGTTTGGGGGGGACTGAGGGGCAACGCGGGAATCAATATGAAGCACAAGTACATGTAACCATAACGAACTATATGCAGACCGAAGGAAAAATAAATATCTCATTCTCATGAGGGATTCCCAAAGCTGTTCACTTCACAACTTAACTTAATGCTGAATATGATGTCGGTCTGAGAAGGTGGACAACCAAAGTAGCAATAATGAATGAGTTAGTCATTCAGCTAACTGGGGTGGAGCAGAAGGTAGAATAACACCACCAACAGTAGGAGTTTTGTTTAAATTTTGCATGATTTAATCAAATACACGACACAATAATCTTACTGATTTTTAAATAACATTGATTGTTTTATATTTAATGGCCTGTACCAAACAAATATTTACTTCTTTTGATGTAGTGGTGTTCTCTCAACTGGATGGTTTATTTGTGAAGCGTTCATTTCCCCCTACTTGTCAACATCTTCAGAGCATACACTTCAATTTGTTGAAGTGAGCTTTTAGATTTATCCACGAGTTTATTGATCATCTCTCCTGGCGGGTGACCTTGAACGTCGTGATTGGTTGTATTTGTGTGTTTTCACATCCTCTAGGTCACTTGTATTGGAACTGATTATTGGAAGACACATTTGTAATGATCAAAAGAAACGAGTTGGAAGAAACTCACAACTTAATAAACAACGTCTTCAACGACATCAAATTCACAAGAGAAGAGGAATCCGAGAATACCGTCCCATTTTTGTACTTCTTAGTCAAGAGAACAACCACAGGAGAATTAGAAACGCAAGTTGATAGAAAATCAACTCACACAGACCAAATACTCAATTACAACTACAGCAACAATTCAATAGCAAACAAAAGGAATTGTATTCAAAAACATTTCAAGTGGGCCAGGACTCATTGGAGTACTCCTTCCCACCTTAGGGAAAATTGAAGAAAGATATCTCATGGACGTCTTCCAAAAGAATGGATATCCACGGAAGTTCACCAAATGACATTTACTCCCAAGCAAACCTACCATATCAAAGGTTCCCAAGGAAACCACATAGAAAATCGCCCTAACATAGATAAAAGACATCTCAGAAATCACTACAATACTCTGCAAACCTTTAGGAATTGATGTTGCACGCAAACCAACAGAATCACTTCACTCAGCTGGCTCTGTGTCAAACAAAAGACTCAAAAGTGAAAGAAGATAAAACCAAAATCACCTAGAAAATAAACGGTAACAACTGCGAAAAACACGACATTGGAAAAAGTGGACGCCCATCTTCTTCGTCTTCTCATCCATGAACATAAACTAGACATCAAAAGACATGACATCCACTCCCTCAAATCGCCTCACTGCATACAGACAACCACGGACATCAATTCGACTGGGACAACCAATGTTCAAATAATAGACAGAGGAAACACTAAGAATGCTAGAGATTTTTTAGAAGCCTGGTATTCCAGTGAATCGTCCATCAATAGACACATCGACATAGACAAAATTTACCAATCGATAAGAAGGAAATCTCACACACACAAAGGGTCAAAATTCAAGGCAAGGGAACAATCAACACCATTACTAATACAAGTAGCCAAGAGGATGTGAAAACAAACAAAAACAACCAATCACTTGCAAGGTAACCACCAGGAGAGATGACTATTAAACTCGTGGATAAATCTAAAAGCTCACTTCATCGAATTGAAGTATATGCGCTGAAGATGTTGCCTAATAGGGAGCAACGAACGCTTCGCAAACAAATAAACTATCCAGCTCAGAGAACACAACTACATCAAAATCATCCACCTGAGCTACAAATCTTCTCCATCATATTTATTTCTTTATAGGGCAATGGTGATTCAGCACTAGGACGCTCACCAACCACGCCTCACGTGGCCCGGGTTCTATCCCGTCGGAACATTCCTAACTCTCGCTAAGCCGGTAGTAAATCCGGTAAAGAAGGAAGGTTGAGCTAAGTGAGGCTAGCAACCGCACTCCGCAAGAAAAAATTAAAAGCCACTGATATTGAAACTTCAAAGCTCCAGCTTGAAGGTGCCCTATGTTCCACTGGGAACGTGAAGGAATAAAATAAATAAATAATAGAGATAGTAGCGACTTACAGAGAGACTGAAAAAGAAGCTAATTAAAACACTATTGGAAGTTTTCAACACAGCAGGAATCTATTTGGTTGTTTGACAGTGATTTACCTTCTCACATTCATGAATTACAAACACACTCAACCTTCCTATTCAACTTAACTTTGTATAATCGCTTGAGTGGAGTCATCATTGTTGGTATTCGATGGTTGGAGGCAATCGACCACAGGAAGCCTCGCCTGACCTAGGTTTCGTGCCAGTTGGTGCTCGCGTCAGTCAGCAAGGCGTATCTGAAACCTCGAAAGAATTCATGTCCCTTGACTGATAGAAATCAGTGTGCACCAAAGATAAGACTAGACACATTACATTACTAGTTACGAGCTTGCCTTTTAAACGGAAGGCAGCTGGGTTCGATTCCCAGTGGGTGCATACTCCCGATGATTTCCAAACTAGGATGAAACAGCTGTCCAGTACTCCCTGGTTTTCAATGGTTCTCTAACTGATATCAATCCGTGGTCAAACTCTAAAAAGAAACTTAATCTTCACAAACCAACTCCTGGCACTCTTATTTAATATCAGAAATCCCTACTTCCCCTTAATTAATTAATCGAATGAATATTACTCAACAACCGCTTACATTGCCATGTGAAATTGACAGTGAGCCATACCCTATTGTATATGTGTTTGTGGGTGAGTGAGTGAAACATAGTGATACTTCCTATTACTACTTGGTAGACTAAAGCCTTAAAAAGGTTGAGTGCAACCCATGACTGGTTTTGATTGATTGATTGGTTGGTTGATAGTCAGACGTCACTTTTTAACCTAATATCTACCTAAACTAACTAAATGAGAATTTTTGTTTGATAATTATTCAAACAATGTGTGTTATCTATCATAATTGAAAGTGAACTTCCCTTCTGGCTTTTTCCTTTTCCTAAAATTTATATCTCCATTTTTTAGATGATGAGAATGAATTAGAAAAATACAGACAAGAGAAGAAACAACACCTACAACAGCAACAACAAGGACGAGCAGAAGCATCTAACAATTGACAATAAATATCAGGAATAATAATAATAATAATCCAGAGAGGATTGACCATGAATTTATTTCCTCAAAGTGAACTATACTACTCACTATTTCATTTCAGCGACAATTATTCTTATGAAAAACAATGGAATAATAACAATAATAATAATAACCACAACACCTATTATGATGGAGGTGGAGATGATGATTCAGAAAGTGAGGGGGCGGCAATAGTCGACAGAACTCCTGCTGGTGTTGCTCATGCCGAGGAGGATGTTGATGACAATGCCCTCCAACTCCATGAAACTAACTCGGAGCATATTCTCTGCACACAGTGTTGTACACATAATACAATAATAGGGAATGCGAGAGAAGGAGAGAAATGGAAATCACAAACATCACCACTTTCCAATTCTCAACAGCATCGAATGATCAATTCATTCTGCACATATGAGAAACAGGCGGAGAAAAGTACAACAAGGCATTCTAAATATACCTCATCTCATACGTACTCCTATCATCGGAGATATATTGATGAACGCGTCAGTCGTAGACGTAGAACTCTATCCTATCCATCCAGGAGTCGACCATCTTCAAATTATTCAATACCAAAATCTCATCTGATCATGAAGTCATCGGTTTGTGCACCCTGTCCAACTAGACGATCATATATTAGAACTATCAGTAAGCATAATGTGAATAATCATTTATCATCACCGTCTTCTTCTTCATCAGGTGGTGGTGGTGGTGGTGGTGGTTTGTTCAATGAATTCGTCAGTTGGATACACGGTTTATTCAGTCGACCGAATTCCTCCCAGTCAGCAGCAGCAGCAACAACAACAACAACACTCAGTCCATATGATATCATAGACACATCTGAATCAAAACTCTACAACATAGACATCAAATCAGCTTCAAGTGATCACCACTATAAACGAGCGTATTCTGCTCCTATTCGAAATAATCAATCTTATCATAATATCACAAGACTAGAAGACGACACCACCTCCACCAACACCAGTGAAGCTGATGACATGACGACTGACTTCAAAGATCTGACTAGAAATTTGAGTGCAATGACGCATACACCATCTTCATCACTGGCAGCATCATCATCCTCATCCTCATCATCATGTCTGCAATTCAGTAGACCGCCAGATACAGAGACAAGTTATTACACACCAAATGAAGGTATGACAGTCACCTCGTCGAGAACAGAAGTGATGGTAGTAGTTGGTTTATCAGTTGCAGAGATACCAACGAATAAAACAACTACTGCAATGAATTCGCCTCTCTCACCAACACCACCACCACCACTACCACCAGTCGATCATGCTATCACACCGACAAGCAAAACAAATTCACTGAAATCAAGTGAAATTATGTTGACGGAAAATAATTCAATAAGTGGTGGTGGTGGTGGTCTCTTCGACAATTCTCAGTCAATAATCAAATATCCGCGTAAAAGTCAAAATATCACTGAATTCTACGATGATGATGATGATGATGATGATAATGAAGGCGATAGATTTATTAGGCCAGATCTCACAGAGATCCAGTCATCAGTACTAGTAGCAGTGGTTGGTAATCGAGAGAGTGACAAACACTTAACTGCCAGTTGTCAGAATCCGTCGGTGATCACTAACTCATCTTCAGGTAATTTCAATAAAAATGAACAAGAGGAAATCTCTGAAGTATCTGTCCCATTGACAACTAGTTCTCCGCCTGGAAAACTATTAAATCAACAGCGTATTAATCAAGGTGATGCTGATGACAACACCAATAAGTCAGTAAGTAGTAGTAGTAGTAATCACCCTCTTAGACAACAAGTCAATGACTCAAATTTCATCTTTGAAATCAATCTCCAACCTGAATTGTGTGCCTTAAAGGGAATTGCTAATCATACTGATCAAGCATTAACAACAGAAATCAATGACTCAATATTATTCAATAAACAATTCCAGTATGTAAACACACAACTACCATTACAGGATAAACATAAAGCAATCAATGTTAAAGGCGTGAAATATATCTCCTACGATAATGTAATACACATTAATCAAGATTCGGAGACAGTATACTACGCCGCCACCAACGGGGAACAAATATCACAGTTGATTCCTGCAATACAAAATCCATCATCGATGAATACTCATCACGGCAAACAATGCCTGACAGTGAATTTGGAGACCTCTGAACAAATTCTATCACCTACATTCCATGTTGAAATGAATGAATTGCATAGATCACCACTACCTGGAGTGGCTCACTACTATGATAAATACAATAGCACTGATCATCGGATACTCGCCACAGAAGGCATAGCCGCTAGTCAAAAACTACTCGAGAAGCGTTTGTCTGATATTCATCATCAAGGCACAGTACTGGACAAGGTGCCACCATCAGCAACAGCAACAACAACGACAACAACAATGATGATGACGGCAGATGGGGAAAGTGAACACAGTAAGTTACTCTGTATGAATCAATTTGGAGAAGGAATTCTCTCTGGACTATTGACCTCACAATTACGCTTAGCACGGAAGTGTAGTTCATACGAATCGGAGAAGCAGCATTGGGAGGAGGAGGAGGCGGGGGAGGTGATGGTGGATAGGGATAGTTTGGGGAAGAAAATAAAACAATTACAACAAAAGATCACAATTATGCCTGAACAAATTTATCATTGTAAATCAAATATTGAAATGGACCATTCCATAAATACATCGATTGACTACTACTACTACAGGGTAAAATCTACACCTGCGACTATTAACCAGGATACCGTTTTCACAGAGAAAACTCAAAGAAGTGATCACTCTGACGACGAAGAGATCTACCAGCAGCATGCAACAACACCGAGCAGAGAAGCAAACTTTTCACCTGAAAAGATTATCTATTCTCCAATTGATTTCAAACATCAATGTCTCCTGAATAGAGAATCACCAGCACCAGCAACGGCAGCCGCAGCAGCAACAACAGCAGCAGTCACATCTGATGATATGCATGAAACTGTTTTAGAGGGTTGTGAAAATGACCAAAACACAATCACACATCCTCCTCTTTCTCCTCCTCCTCTTCTGTATACCTACGAGTCATTAGAACTTTCAGAATTACATAAAACTGACACAAAGATGCAAGATGTACTAGTTTCACAACAACTTTCATCGAAATACGCCAATTCATTCCCAATACCAACACAAGTTGAAGTTGATGTTGTACTCGGTTCTACCACTGAATGTGCAAACAAAGACGACGAAGTTCATCATCATGAGAAGAAGAAGAAGAAGACGAGGAATAAAAGTCATGAAAGTGAATCATCGAATTATGATCATTATCATCATTGTCATATTCCATTGAATGACATAAGATCACAAAGTGAGTGTACAATACAATTGGAGGAGTCAATAGTTCTATCAAGACAAACTTGTCGTGATTCAGACTCTGTTGTTACTATGACACAATCTAAGATGACAACGGCTTCTATTGACAATCTAGAAAATGACTCAGTACTACTTGAGAAAGACTTCAATCTGTCTACAACATCATCTGAAAGTGATATGCACGAACAGAGAACAACGCCTGTTAACATTGAAGTTGATCTCTCCAATTCACTATCTGACGCCGTCCATTGTAATTCTCACCCAACAACAGATGATGAGGTGATCTCCAATCGAAGGAAGCTTGACCAAGTGGTAGAAATAAATCCAACCATGATGACAAACAAAAAATTCTTGAAGTACGCCTCCTCACTGAAGACAACAACAAGTAAGCTTCCACATGACAATTTCATCACAGATGACAACAAAATGTATCCAGAAGAGACACCTTCAGAGATTTTACACTTGAACAAAGTACCAGTAGTCGAGATGAAGAATCCAATAACCGAACCACTTGATGAAAACACTGCAACAATCAAAGAATCTTCGACACCAGTGCATATGAAGGAAGTCATACAAGAAAATTATACACACGAACAACAACACCAACAACAACAACCAGACTTTACCGCAACTGACATACGACCACCGAATCTCACTGGCGGCTATTCTAACAAACTAGACAAGACAAGTAGAATCATCCAATGGGAAAATGTTCAAACTAACGAGATGTACACAACTGTTGATTTTGTATATAAGCAACAAGACACCACCACTACTGATGATGATGATGACAATGATGAAATGACTGTGATGAATCGAAATACAATGACAATACCGATATCATCTCACCACGATGAATCATTGACAGAAACAGACGACGACATTCAGATATCACTTGGACAACATACACCATATCATCACAATAAATCCACTGGTGGAATCAATAACACACAGGATACAACTGTGGAAAATGAAGAAGAAGGAAGAAAGTGTCGTGGAACAGGAACACCAGGACATGAAGTGAATTTCAAACAGGAGGATGTTCAAAACGACAGCACAATAATAACAACTCAAAGAAGTCTTCTGCATCAGAAACAGTCATCACATGAATCAAAAGAAAACATTTACAATGAGAAGAATGATGATAAGCATAGTGACGATAGTGGCAGTGAAACATTTGATCACAAAAAACCAACTCATCCGCATCCAGCACAGAAACCAGTGAAACCAATTCTACGCAGTGACGACAGTTCAGTAACAACACACGTTGAAGAAGAGTCTACATTCTACTCGACTATGCATCAAAGACGCATCATAGATCTTCAATTCTTGGATATTCTTAATAGAACTAGAATGATTGGTGGAAAAGTGATGCTGACAGAATACTCACCTGAACAGTATTACAAAGAGACACTAATCATACCAGAATTACTCTGTCAAACACAACATAATTCATTTGAACAGAACCACCGACTCAATGATATTCATGACAGTAGTACTGGTAGTCGGAGTGGTCTGCAGTTAGACAGAAACAGTGGTGGTGGCGGTGGTTTATCAGAATATGCCCAAGATTCAACGCTAACCGAGAATGAGGCAAGTTATCGTTCTATTGCACCGACTAGGAAAGCTTTAAAATTAGGCGCCATTGAAGAGATGCTGTGTGCTCCACTAGTGAACACTGGAATTCATAAAGAGGCAAGCAGATCAGATGAAGCGGTTTTCGATGCTCTGAAAGGCAGTGGTGAAGAGAAACCAGTTGCCTATTTTGTAGAACAAGAGTGTCAGAATAACCAAGAAAGTCATTGGCCAGGTAGAATATATATGCCTTTAACGCCAACAATTGAAATTCAAACAACACCATTATTGGGTGTTCCATTGAATCAATATACCATGACAACATGTTGTTCAGTAGAGGTGAAAGCGGAGAAGGAGAACGGAGAGAGCAGGGAGTGGAGGAGGACGACGAAGAAGGAGGAGGCGACGAGTGACGACATCATATCTTCACCGAATCAACAACAACACCCAATGGAACAGTCGTCTAACAAGGCTGTAATGCAGAAACCAATCAACGCATATCTCAGTGACACACAGAATCAAAATTCTAAAGCAAATGATAATAAGCTGAACTTGATAACCAACTTTACGGATAACAATAATAAAAAAGCACACCTGAAGAAGAGGAGTATATCGTTATCACTTGACAAACTGACACGATCACGTCTGTCAATATCAAAATTTATACTACGATTGAAGATTAGATCAAGAAGTCTCGGAAGACTTGATCTGCATCATCTAAGCATTGAACAGGGAAAAGTGTCAGGTGTAGACGATTCAGATGACGAAGAGATTGAAATTTCTGCACGGATACATCCTTTCAATTTCAAGGAGGGAATCCATAAGGAGGCGAATTTAGGCCAGACAATATTCGCTACGGAACAATCATCTTGTAATGATGAATTTGGTTTCAGGCGAGATGTACCTCAAGAAAGGAGTGATGATAAAGTGGAGAAAACAGAAACTGAAAAGCGTCAGATTTGGGAAAATGAAGCAGTAATTGAAACACAACTACCGCCACCACCACCACCACTAAATACTGAAGACTCCTTCTGTGCTTCACAGACTAAACACATGGAACAATTAGAGGCAATCGATCAACCAGTTCTACTCAAGGAGGATAATACCAAAAACCTCAAATTCAAAATAGAAGCTGAGAAAACTATTTCTGAAATACAGTCACCAACACAAACACAACAAGAACAAGAACAAGACGAAGAGAGAAATGAGGCATACAATGATCACGATGACGATGGGGAGGAGGAGGCGGCGGCGACGTCGACGGCGGCGGAGTCGAAAAGGTTGAGTCTACCACTGCCAATCGAAATCGGAGGAGGAGAAGGTAATGACTCATTTGTAGAGAAGTATGAAATTGTCCCTAGAAGAACAAATGAAGAAACAGACGACGACCAGTTGGAGGCTATTTCATCTGAACAAAGTGATGAGAATGCGGAAGAAGAAGACATGCATATGACGACAACAACTTCGAGTTGTGGTGAAGAGTCAGCGAAACATTCCTCCACCTCAAACTTATTATTATTATTATCACCATCATCAATCAAGGAACCACATTGTAAGAATGAAATTATCCTAGAAAGTAGTCTGAGCTACAATGAAGTCAATCGACAGACAACTGCAAAATTAACATACACCACGACAACTGCATCGGTGCCAGCTCACATGAATGAATTCTTAACAATATCAATGACATCTATTGTATCACCATCAATCCACTATAGAAGTGAGCTAAGCTTTACTCATCAACATTCTGAACAGATAAAGACAAGTACACCGACAACTCTGAGTAAACTGAGTGAAACACCAGTGCCTACAAAGAGTGGTGAATCAACAACCAGCTCGAGTATTTATTATACTGCTCAAAGTAATCCAAGTGGTTATGGTGAAATTGAAGTAGAAGTCAACCAACAAGACGTTGTTATTCCTGCTGCTGCTGCTGCCTCTGTTAACGTTGACAAGAAGGATTCATATGATGAGTCTACATTGAAAGAAGAAGATAAAACTCCAATGCAGAATGATGATGATGATGTGATAAATGAAGCAGAAAGAGAGACGACTGGCACAGAAACTGTCAAGGCGTCATCATCATCGCCATCGCCATCATCACAGAGTGAAGCACAACCTGATCATCTACACCAAATCGAAGAAGTAGAAGGAGAAGAAGAAGCTAGTGAACACGTTGATGAATTGAAAGAGAGCATAGAGGAGGTGAATGTGGAGGCTATTCAATCAGCTCCTGATATACTCAATTGCAGTTTATCAGAAAACATTGTAACATATAATGTTGATGGAGAGTTGAATGAACAAATCGCTGTAGTCAGTCTAGAAGTAGATCATGCACAACCAAGTGACATCGTAGACATACACGACATGGACACTGACGCTGACACCGGAGTCAGTAAACAGCTTCATTTAACACAGATTACTACTGAACAGCCACTAGACGATGATGAAAATCATCAATTCCAAGAGTTAACTGATGCAACAGAGCCACTTGTAGACGACTCACAACCGCCTATAACTGTAGCCCGTACAGTGGAAGTAGAGCGACATAATGATGATGATCATGATGATGATGAGTTGGGTGAAGTTTCCATGAACAGACAACAACCGTATCAAACGACAAGCCATCCAATCAATATTAAAGAAACAAGCAAGGTGATGCAAGAACATTCAGCCAAATCAGAGAATAAAATACTACTCAAACAAACACATGAAACAGTTAAAATGGAAGATAAACAACCAGAAATGAAAACAATCCACGAAGAGAAATACCACGATTTGTACAATGTGAAAGATGCTAGAGAGAAAAATGTACCTTATGAAAGTGTCAGTGTGTTGGATCGAGTTCCTGATACAATCACTTCTGGACTGGAACGAAAAGAAGAAGCTGAGAGTCGAAGTCCCAAGTTAGTCAAAAAACAACACGCTGTTGTGATGAGGGAGACTCCTATTATTAATACGGCACCACCTCAACCAGACGACAACGACGACGACGACGCCGCCGACGACAGACAAGCGAAGTCTACAAAACTGGAAATATCTAAAGTCCCAGTAGTCATGGACAATCTAACTCTTGCAAAAACTGATACAAGAGCAGATACACCAGTCATTGAATTCAAAACAGTTGATAGTCCTTTCGATATTCGAATAAAACCGATGGAAGTATTACAAGCTACAGGGAAATCTGTAAGTCAAACATTTGGTGATGATGACGAGTTGGATGAGATAAAACACCCAGAAACTTCAGACATCCACCTACCTGAGATGTTCACCTTAAATGAATATGAAGATAAGTGTGAAGTGAAGGAGTTAACAACAACACGAGGCGAAGATGAAGAGGAACACTGTCAACAGATGAAACACGAGAAGGAATCACCACCCACCACCAATTTGGTGGTATTTGTTCTTGTCCAAGTACAACAAACACCAGATACAATAATAATGAGAAATGAGATGTTAACGACCCCTGATGAATTGAAACAAAGTTATTCTCTTATGGATAATGAAGAGGAAGAGGAAGAGGCAGAAGGAGAGATTGTGCAGACTGAAGGAGTCGATATAACTGATTACTACTTACAGTCTCCACTAGAGGACAAGATAACTACTGACAAAGAAGACGAAGAAGAACAAGAAGCCTACCATGACATCAAAGTCAACCAATATCATAAAACAAATGTAACAACTAAATTCAATCTTACAGTGAATCACTTCGATATAGATGACAAGATGTTCTCATCACAAAGTGGTAGAGACATTCAACCACCTACAGATTTGTCAAGTGAAACTCAAAGATTACCATCACCGCTCTCACCAACATCATCCTCCTCGGAAGCGGTTGATCATCATGAAATCATGCAACGACAAGAAGACCAAGAAGAAGCAGAAGAAGATCCAACAATGAAGAGACATTTTACACAACTCAAAGAAGACGTGAATATCTTGAAAATAACCTCGAAATGTACATATACAAGTACACCATTGAAAAATTATTCATTGAGACAAAGAACTACAACAACTAGAATCCCCTCCTCCAGTTTTGAACGATCTACATCACCACAAGAATACACTGTCGCTTCTACTGTCTGCCTACCACACTCCGATGGTACAACCACTGCGAACACCACCACCACCACTCTCACACATTCAGAAAGTCCTTATCCAGCCCCAACCAGCTCACCATCGATGACCAATCTAGGCTGGCTGTTAGATTCCTCCTCCTGTCTAATAAGCCGATTTGATGAAAGACTGAATAAACATCTTATTGAAGTATCACCTAATAACAGGATATTTAAGAAAGCAACTATCACAGAAACCAGTCACCATCAGCTACCAACTATCACAGCAACTGATCAAAGTCCATCACAAGAACAAACAACAACAACAGCAGCGACACCACCAACAACAACAAACAGACCTGAAGGAAACCAACTTCGTATAACCATCTCTCAGAGTATACGTAGAAATTATTCCTGCATTTCAAAAGATGATAGCCACACAGAAAACTTGGTAAGCAGCACCAGTAATGTAATCACAGCTACTACTACTGCTACTACTACTACCGGTTACTACAATCTACGACGTTCATTGTCTGAAGATTTCAAAGGTGATAAACATACTACATCACACAGTGAAATCAAGAAACCAACAAGCTCACTAGCACTAGTCGACGAGGAATCTGAAGAGATGTATATAGCCAGAAAACTGACTAACGAAGCGCTTAACAAAGCTATTGGCAAACTGTCTATCGGCTATACAGACATTCCCCCAACACCCCCACCAGCATTGAGTTATTCAACTCAAATTACACAAAAGAAGAACAAAGAAACACAACAACAACAACAGAAATTCTCTGATGAAGAAGAAGGAGAAGAGGAAGAGATTATAACACGATTACGACAAGAATACAACATACAATTACCTTCAAGAATTATTGATCAGCATCATCGGTCTACACAAAGTCCACTGACTATAATCATGAGTACAACACCAGAGGATACAACTGCACCCACGCCAACAACATCAATCGATACACCATTCAAAATTGAACAAGATGTCTACAGTGAAGTGTCGAAACAAACAATCGCTATTCATGCTAAAACACGCATATACATGTTTGAAGCGGATGAAGGTGAAACAAAAGAAGAAGCACAAGGAGAAGAAGGAGCAAAGGAAGAAGAAATGAAAGATACTGATGTGTATCCAGTGAATGATGCAAATGTGATTCAGTCAATATCACAAGAATGTAGCCTCAATAAAACTGATAATCAAGTTGTCTTACAAACTTCACTATTAGTTACAAGTCCAAAGTATCTGACACAATTGATTGATGAAGAAATTACTGATTTACGTGTAGAACAACAGCATATCGGTGTGATCAGTGGATCAGATTACAGCACCCTGGCGAAATACTCCCCAATGGACGACAGAGGCAACGACGATGACGACGACGACAATAACAGAGAGGTGGAAAATCTTTCAAGATTAAGAGAAAGGCAAGAGCTCCAACAACAACCACAACCACAACAACAATCTCCAGATGGAAAAACAGTTACTATCAGTCCTACCAGTGTTGTCGATGACTATATGGCATCAGAAGACAATGATGACCAGGAGGAGGATGAAGGCAAGTCGACACAACAACAAATACAAGAAGAATTATCTGCGCTTAGTTTTGCAGCACCATCAACACATGAATTCAGTGGACCAGTGAAGAAACGAGGCAGTGATGACAGAACACAAAATGACCAGCCGATAGAAGAAGAAGAAGAAGCAGAAGAAGATTTCACCAGACCCCCTGATTATGTGTTAACACAAACCTATCAGGAAATAAGTGCTACAGATGCAATAACTATCAGTCAGTCAGCAGATCATCCTATCCACGATGGTGATGATGATGAAGAAGACCGTGATATCTTGAGTCGACTAACAACAACAACACCACCACCACCGCCGCCGCCTAATGACCACCTTCACCAACACCACCAACAGCACCAACAGCACGAGAAATTACAGTCAAGGAATGCAATCAAAAGTGAAACAATCACTCAAGACTTTGTCACTATTTACGAAACACCAGAAAAGATTCAGCTGGTGAGAAGAAGTGGAACACCAGAAAGTCGAAGTAGGCAAGAATTAATAGAAGAAGGAGACGACGACGAGGATGATAGATACAGAAGTATGTCAAGACCATTCACAACAACACCCACAACAACAACAACAGCTGAGATATTAACAGGAGGAGGAGGAGAAAAGTTCAAACTGACAAATATTCATGAGAAAGATACTCCTCCTTCTCCCCCTCCTCCTTCTCCGCCTCCTGCTACTCTGAGTCATATTCATTCAGATAATGATGAAGGCATGTTACAAGTATCCATGGATATAGATATACAAGCAAACTACAAACTAGTTAATTCAACCAGTGAACTACACGACAAGGAGGAACCGATTACAAATTTGAATCTACATTTACCAACAACAACAACAACACACAGGAGAATATTTTAACTCTGCACGAAATTATCACCTCGCCAGCAAAACAGCATACATCGACACCGACTAATAATAAAATTAATGCATCGGATAAAGCATCACCTCTACTCACAACAACTGCAATAACTGCATTGACACCAGAATCAACATCTGAAAAACAACGGGACGGTATGTTAACCGGCCTGAAAGAAATGCCTACAGCTATGCTGACAAGTCCAATGGAAATACAAACCACCACTGACAGGTCTCAATTGTCAATCAATCCACAAGTGACTTGTACCAATTTATTCTCCTCCATCATCAGTATACAAATAAAGCTAACACAAGGAGTGTGTAAATCAGCAGAAAGTCATAGTGAGGCAATACAATACTTTGATGATACTGAAATCAAATCGAAGAGTGAACAACAATCAGCACTACTTTTACCGAAATCTATTGACAACACTACCACTACTACGACGACGACTACTGCGACTACTGCTAGTGCTAATACGACTACCAATCAGCTTCTTAGTGACATGCATTTCAATCAAGCTGTTCGAGAGCATATCGATTTAATGACTAGAATGTCTGACCAGGAAAGACAAGCATTGGTTAGTGAGACTAAGAAAAGAATGTTGAAAGATGCCAGCCTATTGTCAGATGATGATGAGAGAATTAAGCTGACTGCAGTCGTGCAAGCTATTCAATGGATAGCTGATATGACAGATGATCAACGCCAACAAATCCTCGCATGCAATCATACAGCAGATACTAGAAGTGATACACCACCACCATTCAGTGAGAAGGTGGCAACAGAAAATCAAGTATTCTTACCGTCGTCGTCCTTGTCTGTAGACATCGCGGATAAACATCATTCGCATATGAATACTCCACACGAGTTACAATGGAGTACTGTTGAGGCGAATTATACACAATCGATAGAAACTACTAGTCAAGTTGATTCTAGGCATACATACGATCTGGTACAACGTGACGCTACTCCTACTACTCCTACTACGAATACTCCTACTAACACTACGACGACTGCAATGAAAGATCAACATTCAAGTAGAACTGTCGAGAGGAAGAAGGAAGTTATCGAACAAACTGCCCATCTACTACCTGATACTACTACTACTACTACTGCTAAACAAATGTATAGTAGTGATATATCAAAGAGAAGACTACCTCAACTGCCCTTGTCATCATCAGTATCACCATCAGAAGTAAACCAGAAGCAGTCGAGTAAATATCCAATTCAAAAGTTAACAAGGACTAGAAAGAGTCCATTAGACACACTACAAAACTCTGATCTACACAAACCACCAATCAATAACATGGAGGAGCGACAATACCAACACCACCAACAACAACAACGACCAATACACTCAGATTATAGTCTCCGTATAAATAAAATTGCTCAACAAATGGCACACAAAATTTATCCATCGAATCAGGCTACTACTACTACAACTAACACTACTACTATTGCACAATCAAGTCTATGCTCACCACGATCGATAATCCAGACTATTGAACGCGTTCAACGAGCTGAGAAGGTGGCCAATGCACTGGATGCCTTAATCATTGAGACTATTGACTATATTACGAAGAATTTACATAAAAAGTAATGATAACAATAATACTAATAATAGTGTATACCTATGCAAAGAAACAACTACTAATAACTAGTAATAGAACCCACTTGGCAATCCCCATACCCCACTTATAAAACAAAGAACCAATGAGACCAACTATTACAATATTAAACAATTTTCATTTATTCAGTAAAAATGCGTGTATGTATTTGTATGTGTGTGTCTGTGTGTAGGTGTGTGCATGTGTGAAGAGAACATCTTTATTATCACCATCATTATTGTCATCATCATCACAAGGAATAAAATTCTTGTGCAATGAAAATACATTCATTATTATTATTATTATATTATGATTATTACTACTATAATCACTGGTATATATATTCATTCTTTTCACTATTCTGATTTCTCTTTTGATGTCGGCATAGGTTAAGGAGGCCGTCGAATGACATCACGTGCATTGCAGGCCATTGCTCACTCAAGTGGAAGGTGAATGGGAAGCGACAAGTTGGTCGTCAGTGGGAGGGTGACATGGAGGAGACCGTGTGGTGAGAAGGAGGATGAGATGAGGGATCATGGTCAATCGTGGAGCCAGTCATATGAAGGGAACAGCAGAAAATAGAAGAAAGTGTAGATGTGTTTTGTTGAAGCAGTATGTTCCACTCGGAACCCAAGGGAATAATAATACAGTTCGGAGAATTCTACATGCCATGTTAGTAAAACTGATCACTCTTCTTATCCTTTGAGATAGTCATAGGTGTACACCAGCCTAATGAAAATATCTTTATATCCTAAACACTAACCAACTACATAGGCGAGTTGAAAAGCTCATTGAAGCGTTCTGTCTGACTTCGAATTTGGCTCTTCTGAAGATTTGTTGAAGTCCTGCGCCATTCAAAGGTGATTTCATTTAATCCAGCTTTTGTAGAACCCGATTTCTGAATAACGTCAAATGCTGCCTGACGTACAAAATCCTATTGCTGATGCTTTTGATTTTTCAAGAGTGAGTTTATTAAATCAGTATAGTGTCATGATTAATTTAAGCTCTATTGTTTTGCCAATAATCAGATCATACATAATTGGGCTATGCTCTTATTACGCTGAGAAAGATAAATTAGATTTCAAGTATTTAGAAGAAAACACAACTCCGTGGTAGTAAGTTGTTATAAGTACACAATATATTACGAAATTATGCTCATTAAAGTTGCTCAAGACGGCAATCGTCCGTCATTCAGCAAGGCGTATATCTCCAGCCTCAGAGGAACTCATTTTACCTGGTGCTGCAGTCAGACATGAAACTATAGATGCCATTAGAATAGATCCACAAGGCATAGGAATAAACGTAGAACAAAAGCCATAGAAAAGATAATTTGAGTAATTCAATCAGTAGAAAGAAAGACAGAGATATGTAGATGACATAATAGTCATTTGTGATAAACCGACAGACGCCATAGAAATCCTAAACCAGATCAACTGAGTACAAAACAGTATATCACTAAGATACGTTAAAGAGAATAATGGTTGCCTGACATTGCTGGATGCACACTCATAACCCGCCGACGACAAAATGGGTCAGTTAAACGATCTGTCTACAGAAAATCCAATTGAACGGGATAGTATTTAAATTATCACAATTTCTGTCCACTACAGTATAAAAAGGCGTTGGTTAAGTGTTTGCTCAAGCGCATTCACCGTATATGTACTACCGATACAATTGAAGAAGAAAGACAACACCTCACTGAAATATTGTTAGATAACAATTACCCACTGAGATTTATTAGGCGTTATGGAAGTGTCAACCATAGAGCTCTACCAATCTAATCAGCTCCCGAAAAGGATGTTTACTTATCCTTGCGGTTCAGCGGTGACCAACAAATTCTATTCACTAGATAAAGACTCAAGGCGGCAGTTAATAGAACCTACTATGTAGCGAAACTTATCTTCATAGAGAAAACGAGAACTATGCTGTCCTGTATACCCTCACAGCATCTGAACGATACAGCTACATCCCATTGTGTTTATCAATTTACATGTATGTGTGGAGACACGTATATAGGGAGGACCCATCGGTCTCTGCAGGTTAGGGTTACAGAACACATTCCAAAGTGGCTGCAACAACAGATAAAATCGCCGGATACAATTGATCCCGGAAATAGATGTCCAGCATCATATATTGTGAAGCACATTATAGAGACGGGTCATAAGGTTGATTTCGACAATGCCTTGAAGCCCATATATAAAACAAGGTTGGGCCACATACTTAAATTAGTTGAAGCATTGGCCATAAAATGACTTGAACCTGTCTTATGTGTCCAAAAGTTATTTGTTATTACTCTAAACCTGACTTGGTAATCCAATTTAGAATCAAGGACCAATTCACTTCATAATATTTTCAACCACTTCTTTGCATTGTTTTTTCTCTTTTCGTCCTTCTTACCCACACCATTGCGTCAGCCTACACATTATTTGTGACCTTGACTTGTAAACAATCTGACCTGTATTGTGCTTATTCAAACCTTCTCGCTTTCTATAAAAACTGTGTATGACAAGTACTCATGTGTGTGTGATAACAATGTCTGAGATGTGTTGCGCAAATACATTACACGTTTCAGATAAACTACGTCTTCTTGTTGTGTTGTGGAAATTCATAAAGGGAACTAATTGCAATCAGTAGCAGCTGAGAGGCTTAACTGTGTTTCAGTGGTTTCGAGGTACAATGCTCGTTATACCACGCACATTGTTCGGGGTTTGATTCCTGGACAATGCGCTACTAAACTCGCAACCGGACAGTAGAGAGCCCCGCGAGGACGGAGAGAGTACTTCAGGCATTGCATTCTCCAGTCAGTTATCACCTCCTCCTCCTGAAAGTGCAAAAGTGATTACATCCCATGGACAAGACGAACCACATCAGTTAACTTGTCATCATCCAAACTGTAGATATTATCAATCTCCAAGAATGATTGATAACTACTATCCAAGTGGATATCACTCAGCTATGCTTGATAATGAAAAAATGCTCAACCATATAATGAAACCAAACCCAACACTGTCCACTGATAAACATGAAAATCAATGTGATTGTCAATCTTGTCGTTTGACCAGGCGATATCAAAACAGCATTCCAGCATATCTACCTGAAAGATACGATGATACCTCGGATGAAGTGAATGATTTCTCTGAATTTCAACAAATCACTATGGCACTGTTGAATACACTTATGGCGACAACTGAAATGTTACGTACACAACTGAAAGTAAGGCAAGCAGCTCTAGCATCACGAAAATGTTGCAGTAATAGACAAGTAGCTAAAGACAGAGACAGATTTGCACAGACTCAAGGATGGAATGAAAATGCCATGTGTAATATTCTAAAAGTTCAACATTCTTGTAGTGAAGAAGATTCTAATGAAGATAACTTGACTTTATCGATTTATAGAGCAGAAGACAAAGGCATCAACTATCGACAGAGGGAGCAGTTAACACCTCTGTCTATTCAGTATCATCAAAACATATCCGAGAAGAAGAAGAAGAAGATAAAGGAGAAGAGGCCTGCTACCAGTACTACTAACACTCCTTACCCCATATCAAGTAGGAGGATTAAGGAAGATTCTGTGAACTGTAGTAGATTCATTACACCAATATTAAAAAATTCTTCAACAAAATATATTCAAACATTATCTTCAGATATACTGAAAACCAATGCACAGAGAATGAATCATGATTTACATCGAAATGGAAATGGCTTAAATTTGCGAAACAATTTCACATCGCATTTGTTTAAATCGACCAATAGAGATTTAAATTCGAAAGCGCCAAAAATGAACATTCATCATCATTATCATGATCATCCACATTTGCAACATAATTTAAACAAAAGGAGTGTATCATTTGAAAGGTATACTGATGACAACTTATTTAAGAATATTGAAAATACAAGAAAACAAGAAGGAGGAGGTCACGTAACTAAAACAAAATTATTGTGTACTAATTGTCATCAATTGTTAAATTTCTATTGTAAGCCTGAAAGCAAATGTCTGTGTTGTCAGAAGAGCATAGATATCTCATTGTTGACGTCATCATCCTTGTCGACATCATCGTCTACACTTGATTCACAGTTTGTTTTAATTAATCGTAAAGAAGAGAGATATCAGATTGCTTCGTCACCGTCACCATCACCACCAACAGTAACAACAACAGCAACAACAACAATGTCGTTTACATCGACAACTTCAATGAAAACTATTTTTCACTCAATACCCTGAGATACGTACGAGTCAATCACTCCCCCATATTCAGATTAATACTGTCTGATAACAGAATATATCAATTATGATTATTATTATCAATATTACTAATAACATTACCACTAGTATCATTACAATACTACCTAATGTGTCATGTTCAAATGAGTCAGAGAGGAGAACAGTTCACGCACACACACACACACACACAGAGAAACAAACAACCACCATCGTCAATTCCTTCATAATACATAAATAAACAGAAAGCATGAATCAAAATGAAATAAATGAGAGAAAACCGAAGGATACGTTTGCAGTCCTTATTTCGGTAAGTTATATATTTATGTCCAAACGAAGTTCACTTTTAACAGTTTGAAAAAGTTTGGGCATTGGGTATATGCGATATTCATTATAATAAAGGTTGCTTTTGTATTTCCCAATGAATGAGTGAATATTAATAATAATAAGAGCAAAACGACATTGCTGTCGTTGTGTTTACTGACGTTTCGCTATTTAATGGTGCTTCTAATAGCCTGTATCAATGTATTATTAAACCAGAAGAGTTTAAAAAATCTCAGCTTATATGAAAACAAATTAGCCATCTTTCCTCGGCATTGGGTCATTCTGCTTTGTCAAGTTGGCCAATTGGTAGAGATAACAAAACCAGGTGTAGACTACCGGATTCGATAAGTGTGCAAAATTATCAAACAGTGTGTGTTTACATAATGATGGCTGATGATTGTTCGAGCTTTTCTAGTTCAGCTGGATTTCTCGATGGTCGAACAGATGCTCTGCTCTACGGTGTTCATTTCTTCTGATTTTGATTTTTGCCTGGCGATGTTTGTCTGATGTATATCGCATCACATTACAAGCATTTCATTTTATAGACACAATTAGATAGAAAATCTTTAGGGAATTGGTCGTTTATATAGACAAGGTTGCTTTGTAGTGCGTGTGTATATTTTCCATATTAGTTTGTTTATTAGGTATATCACACAATTGATATGATTATGAACAATAAATTTTGTTCGAAACGTCATCCAGTAAATAATACTGTTTCACTGTGTGATATACCTAATAAACAAACTAATATGGAATTACTTACTACCACAGTGCCCAAGTTTTACACATATATTAATATGACATGTGTATATTTTATTGTATATTATAAGTCACAAGGAGTCAGTGGATCTGCGCCATCACTGAGGACGATTTTTAGGCATATCACCAGTTGCCTACAGCCTTCACTGGGTTTTACCATCCTGATGACCACAACCAGCCTGGCGGTCTACACCTTCTTACGTGGCTGACTAAAACTAACTGCTATGAGTTTCACTGACTGATGAAGCCATCTTCTGATCTGACCACCATGTGCTAACTCTTTTCCAACCTAATCGATCCTGTGTCAGCTAACATTACCCGTTGTTGAGGAAGGCGATGATGACTAGGCATGTATGCTTAACACATGCCCTAACCATCTCTCTCAATCGATGTAACCACACAGCCTCGTCGACTGATTTTCACTCCTTACCCAACACTCGACGTCTAACATCCCAATTACTCACCCTATTATACCACCACCTTACACGGGAGATAGAACGCAGACGAAATGCAAATTATTAAAAATAAATTTAATAATAATATGTAACATAATTGGATGATTCCATATGAGATATTAGAAAATGAATAGGATGAATTGGCCATGCTAGACTAGAATATAGAATAAAACGAAAACAAGATGGTGGCGGTAGATGCTACTAGCATTTATAGGAAACTGACACACACACTATCTAATAAATACTTAGACTTTAATTCATCCCATCGAGAATCGGTGGTAAAGATAGGTTCAGTTAAACGTCTGTATATTCGGAACAAGAGCCTACCTAGAAAGCCAGAAGATTTAAATTACAAAATCAAAGAAATAAAAGAAATATTACTAGTGAATCACTGACTACCCACTAGAATTCATTCAGAAATATGTGGAGAACCATAGCAAAACCACAATTATCAGTAAAAATGACGAAAATAGTATAAAATTCAAAGCCTCTGTAGTTCTGCCTCATAGAGAAGTAACTACAGAGGCCTCACGTAGGATTCTCAATGAGGCTAGAGTTAGGGTGGCATTTAAACCAACCAGCCAATTCTCTTAGAGATAAACTCTGTCGCCTTAAGGGCCCAATAGATCAAACTACGAAAAATAATATAATTTACCAAAGAGTATGTAATGCTATCTGTGGGGCCAATTACATAAGTGAATCAAACTAGTAGATCAGGGTCAACCAGATTGTTGGAACATAAAAATGTAGCTAGATCAACAATGATTGACCTAGAAAAAGCCTCAACCATTGCACTGCATTCACTTGCATGTAATCACGAAATAGGGTGAGTGGGACAGGGTGAGAGTATTTAAAAGTGGTATGGTTAGGTGGAGAGAGAGGTTATTCACTGAAGCTTTGTTTATCGATTCAACACAGTACACGTGCAATCGGAATGATGCAACGCCGCCTATACCGGAGATATGGAAAGTTGCCACAAACAACAAAGGGAAGTTGGAGAGACAGAAAGAGAGAAAATATATATCAGACAAAATGTGAAAACGTGTGACTATATTGACATGATTATGAACAGCAACAATTTATCCTCGAAACCTTGTCATCCAGTTATTAATACTGTATCATCACTGTATGATAATTAAAATAAACTTATCTAATATGGAATTATATTCTACCACCACAGTGCCCAAGTTCTATACTTACACTAATAATTAGATGACGGCTTGAATTTCCGAGGTATTGTAAATATGATATTGTCATGCATTTTGTCGTTGTTGTCACAGCTGAATCTGACTGACTTTATGTCTGTCTCAGTGTTGGTTGGTTGTAGTGGCATCGGTGGAGGCGCATTCAAGTCTCAGATTAAACGAATCCACAATACGGTCAGTATCACTTCTTCATAACACAGACACTCATGACAATCCCACCAGAGGTCGAATATAGGACTCACCTTCGCATTACAAGACAACCTCGTTAACAATTCAACCTCTCGGTGGGAATCCGATAGTTACTTGAATTTTAACTTGTGCTATTATCAATCCGTGATCTATTTTATTATTATTATTTATTTTATTCCTTTATGCTCCCAGTGAAACATAGGACACCTTCAAGCTGGAGGCTTGAAGTTTCGGCAGGAGTGGCATTTTAAATTTTATGGCATAGGGTTGCTGGTCAGCCTTATACCAAATCTTTCTTCTTTACCACTCTAATCACTAGCTCAGCGAGGTAAAAGGGTGCGTCAGTGGTCGGCGATCGAACCCCGAACCACGTGTTGCATGGTAGGCGAGCATTCTACCACTGTGTCACCAACGCATATCCGCGATCTAACGTGGAATTAATTAGATAACTACACACCTAACACATATTAAACTACAATGACATTAGTTTTGAGTTTTTGACATACATTAATTGTTAAATTTATCTATTTCTGATTTCAGATGTGCACAGAGAGTGAGTGAGTGAGTCAGCACACATTTGCCTACTTAAATATATGATGATTCCGTGGGAAGTAGCTCTTATACAAGAAGGAGCATTTACCAACACTGCCATCAGCCAAGTATGCACCATGTGTTCACAGACATTATAGCCTTTTCCAAGATTGAAACAATAATTAGTTATTTTTTTATTTATTCATTTGATTTCATTCTTCTTTCAAGCATATACTACTTATACATACATATACTACTGCTACTATGACAAGAATTGAATTTCACTCAACGATTACCTTTCAGTATTTTTAATTCTCATATCATTTGCATTATGTTGTATTCCTTTTGTCAGCTTCCTTAAAAAGGATGAAATTACGTTTTTCACTTATTTCTGCTAGTTACACTGTTTGCTTCCAGCCTTCCTTCCTTCCTTCCTTCCCCCTTTGAAAGTTTTGTAAGAAATAAATAAACTTATTTTGAATCATAATTGCATAGAATTTTCTCTTAATGATGATGATGATGATGTGTAGTGGAGAAGAATAATTCTTGTAATTTTAGATGGATGGATGTTGTTGTGTTTGTTTTGTTTTTCTTCAATATTATGCTTGTTGTTGTTGTTGGTGGTGGTGGTGTGTTGCCTCCCTCTCAGGAGGATTGTTGATTTAATGATTGATTGAGCTTTGATTGTCCACCTTCCAAGATAACACAACGACTTCAGGGCATACATTTCAAATAATAATAATGAGTGATGTGAGCTTTGGAAATCTATCATAGATGAATGGATCCAGTGGTCAAATATGTGGAGTGGTTGGGGGGAGCGGAGGGGCAACGCGGGAATCAATATGAAATACAAGTACATGCAACCATAACGAAATATATGGGGATTGAAGGAAAAATAAATATCTCATTCTCATGAGGGATTCCCAAAGCTGTTCACTTCACAACTTAACTTAATGCTGAATATGATGTCGGTCTGAGAAGGTGGACAATCAAAGTAGCAATAATGAATGAGTTAGTCATTCAGCTAACTGGGGGGAGCAGGGGTAGAATAACACCACCAACAGTAGGAGTTTTGTTTAAATTTTTCATGATTTAATCAAATACACGACACAATAATCTTACTGATTTTTAAATAACATTGATTGTTTTATATTTAATGGCCTGTACCAAACAAATATTTACTTCTTTTGATGTAGTGGTGTTCTCTCAGATGGATAGTTTATTTTTTTTGCGAAGCGTTCATTGCCCCCTACTACGCAACATCTTCAGCGCATACACTTCAATTCGATGAAGTGAGCTTTTAGATTTATCCACGATTTCATTGGTCATCTTTCCTAGTGGGTGACCTTGAACGTCGTGATTGGTTGTTTTGTGTGTTTTCACATCCTCTGGGCTACTTGTATTGGAACTGATTATTAGATGACACATTTATCATGATCAAAAGAAACGAGTTGGATAAAACTCACAACTTAATAAACAACTTCTTCAACGACATCAAATTCACAAGAGAAGAGGAATCCGAGAATAAAATCCCATTTTTGAACGTCTTAGTCAAGTGAACAACCACAGGAGAATTAGAAACTCAAGTTTATAGAAAATCAACTCACAGGGATTAAATACTCAATTACAACAACAGCAACAATCTAATAACACACAAAAGGACTTTTATTCAAACACTATTCAAGAGGGCCAGCCAGGACTCATTGCATTACTCCTTACCACCTTAAGGAAAATTGAAGAAAGGTATCTCATGGACGTCTTTCAAAAAAATGGACATACACGATTCTTCACCAAAAGACGTTTACTCCCTAACTAGCCCACCACATCAAAAGCCCCAAGGAAACCACATAGAAAATCAATCATCAACTCATTTTTTACGAGTTTGACCACGGATTGGTATCAGTTAGAGAGAACCATTGAAAACCAGTACTGGAGTACTGGACAGCCAACTGTTTCATCCTAGCTTCGGGGAATTATCGGCAGTACGCACACACGGGGATGTTCGCTAATGACTTGCTACAGGATGGAGTTTCCTGGAGCAGTTCTTGTGAGAATTCGTGACCAGCGAGGTAGAACCCGTTAAGTGTGGTGATGGATTTCTCACCGATGACATTGGTTGGTGCCAGTTGCGCTAAATCACGAATTGGTAGAAGTTAGATATCACGGGCTGGCCACTGAATAGTTGGGTCGCAGTGGCTGAATGGTATACGAGCTCGCTAGTCTTGTAACCGGAACGTCCTGAGTTTTCAGTCGTTCTCTAACTGATAACAATCCGTGGTCAAACTCGTAAAATGAGACTTAATCTTTACAAACCAACTCCTGGTACTCTTATTTTATATCAGAAATCCCTACTTCCCCTTGATTAATTAATCGAATGAATATTACTCAACAACCACTAAAATTGCCATGGGAAATTGACAATGAGCCATACCCTATTGTATATGTGTTTGTGGGTGAGTGATTGATTGATTGAGTGAAACATAGTGATACTTACTACTACTACGACTTCGTAGACTAAACCCTTAAACAGGTTGAGTGCAACCCATGACTGGTTTTGATTGATCTGTTGGTTGATATCTACCTAAACTAACTAAATGAGAATTTTTGTTTGATAATTATTCAAACAATGTGTGGTATCTATCATAAATGAAAGTGAACTTCTCTTCTGGCTTTTTCTTTTTCCTAAAATTTATTTCTCCATTTTTTAGATGATGAGAATGAATTAGAAAAATACAGACAAGAGAAGAAACAACACCTACAACAGCAACAACAAGGACGAGCAGAAGCATCTAACAACTGACAATAAATATCAGGAATAATAATAATAATCCAGAGAGGATTGACTATGAATTTATTTCCTCAAAGTGAACTATACTACTCACTATTTCATTTCAGCGACACTTATTCTTATGAAAAACAATGGAATAATAACAATAATAATAATAACCACAACACCTATTATGATGGAGGTGGAGATGATGATTCAGAAAGTGAGGGGGCAGCAATAGTCGACAGAACTCCTGCTGGTGTTGCTCATGCCGAGGAGGATGTTGATGACAATCCCCTCCAACTCCATGAAACTAACTCTGAGCATATTCTCTGCACACAGTGTTGTACACATAATACAATAATAGGGAATGTGAGAGAAGGAGAGAAATGGAAATCACAAACATCACCACTTTCCAATTCTCAACAGCATCGAATGATCAATTCATTCTGCACATATGAGAAACAGGCGGAGAAAAGTACAACAAGGCATTCTAAATATACCTCATCTCATACATACTCCTATCATCGGAGATATATTGATGAACGCGTCAGTCGTAGACGTAGAACTCTATCCTATCCATCCAGGAGTCGACCATCTTCAAATTATTCAATACCGAAATCTCATCTGATCATGAAGTCATCGGTTTGTGCACCCTGTCCAACTAGACGATCATATATTAGAACTATCAGTAAGCATAATGTGAATAATCATTTATCATCACCGTCTTCTTCTTCTTCATCAGGTGGTGGTGGTGGTGGTTTGTTCAATGAATTCGTCAGTTGGATACACGGTTTATTCAGTCGACCGAATTCCTCCCAGTCAGCAGCAGCAGCAACAACAACAACACTCAGTCCATATGATATCATAGACACATCTGAATCAAAACTCTACAACATAGACATCAAATCAGCTTCAAGTGATCACCACTATAAACGAGCGTATTCTGCTCCTATTCGAAATAATCAATCTTATCATAATATTACAAGACTAGAAGACGACGCCACCACCACCAACACCAGTGAAGCTGATGACATGACGACTGACTTCAAAGATCTGACTAGAAATTTGAGTGGAATGACGCATACACCATCTTCACCACCACCACCAGCATCATCTCATCCTCATCCTCATCATCATGTCTGCAATTCAGTAGACCGCCAGATACAGAGACAAGTTATTACACACCAAATGAAGGTATGACAGTCACCTCGTCAAGAACAGAAGTGATGGTAGTAGTTGGTTTATCAGTTGCAGAGATAGCAACGAATAAAACAACTACTGCAATGAATTCGCCTCTCTCACCACCACCACCACCACTACCACTACTACCAGTCGATCATGCTATCACAGCAACAACAAGCAAAACAAATTCACTGAAATCAAGTGAAATTATGTTGACGGAAAATAATTCAATAAGTGGTGGTGGTGGTGGTCTCTTCGACAATTGTCAGTCAATAATCAAATATCCGTGTAAAAGTCAAAATATCACTGAATTCTATGATGATGATGATGATAATGAAGGCGATAGATTTATTAGGCCAGATCTCACAGAGATCCAGTCATCAGTACTAGTAGCAGTAGTTGGTAATCGAGAGAGTGACAAACACTTAACTGCCAGTTGTCAGAATCCCTCGGCGATCACTCACTCATCTTCAGGTAATTTCAATAAAAATGAACAAGAGGAAATCTCTGAAGTATCTGTCCCATTGACAACCAGTTCTCCGCCTGGAAAACTATTAAATCAACAGCGTATTAATCAAGGTGATGCTGATGACAACACCAATAAGTCAGTAAGTAGTAGAAGTAGTAATCACCCTCATAGACAACAGGTCAATGACTCGAATTTCATCTTTGAAATCAATCTCCAACCTGAATTGTGCGCCTTAAAGGGAATTGCTTATCATACTGATCAAGCATTAACAACAGAAATCAATGACTCAATATTATTCAATAAACAATTCCAGTATGTAAACACACAACTACCATTACAGGATAAACATAAAGCAATCAATGTTAAAGGCGTGAAATATATCTCCTACGATAATGTAATACACATTAATCAAGATTCGGAGACAGTATACTACGCCGCCGCCAACGGGGAACAAATATCACAGTTGATTCCTGCAATACAAAATCCATCATCGATGAATACTCATCACGGCAAACAATGCCTGACAGTGAATTTGGAGACCTCTGAACAAATTCTATCACCTACATTCCATGTTGAAATGAATGAATTGCATAGATCACCACTACCTGGAGTGGCTCACTACTACGAGAAATACAATAGCACTGATCATCGGATACTCGCCACAGAAGGCATAGCCGCTAGTCAAAAACTACTCGAGAAGCGTTTGTCTGATATTCATCATCAAGGAACAGGACTGGACACGGTGCCACCATCAGGAGTAACAACAACGACAACGAAAATGATGATGATGACGGCAGATGGGGAAAGTGAACACAGTAAGTTACTCTGTATGAATCAATTTGGAGAAGGAATTCTCTCTGGACTATTGACCTCACAATTACGCTTAGCACGGAAGTGTAGTTCATACGAATCGGAGAAGCAGCATGAGGAGGAGGAGGAGGCGGGGGAGGTGATGGTGGATAGGGATAGTTTGGGGAAGAAAATAAAACAATTACAACAAAAGATCACAATTATGCCTGAACAAATTTATCATTGTAAATCAAATATTGAAATGGACCATTCCATAAATACATCGATTGACTACTACTACTACAGGGTAAAATCTACGCCTGCGACTATTAACCAGGATACCGTTTTCACAGAGAAAACTCAAAGAAATGATCACTCTGACGACGAAGAGATCTACCAGCAGCATGCAACAACACCGAGCAGAGAAGCAAACTTTTCACCTGAAAAGATTATCTATTCTCCAATTGATTTCAAACATCAATGTCTCCTGAATAGAGAATCACCAGCAACAGCAGCAGTCACATCTGATGATATGCATGAAACTGTTTTAGAGGAGTGTGAAAATGACCAAAACACAATCATTCCCGCTCCTCCTCCTCCTCCTCCTCTTCTAAATACCTACGAGTCATTAGAACTTTCAGAATTACATAAAACTGACACAAAGATGCAAGATGTACTAGTTTCACAACAAATTTCATCGAAATACGCCAATTCATTCCCAATACCAACACAAGTTGAAGTTGATGTTGTACTCGGTTCTACCACTGAATGTGCAAACAAAGACGACGAAGTTCATCATCAGAGAAGAAGAAGAAGAAGACGAGGAATAAAAGTCATGAAAGTGAATCATCGAATTATGATCATTATCATTGTCATATTCCATTGAATGACATAAGATCACAAAGTGAGTGTACAATACAATTGGAGGAGTCAATAGTTCTATCAAGACAAACTTGTGGTGATTCAGACTCTGTTGTTACTATGACACAATCTAAGATGACGACGGCTTCTATTGACAATCTAGAAAATGACTCAGTACTACTTGAGAAAGACTTCAATCTGTCTACAACATCATCTGAAAGTGATATGCACGAACAGAGAACAACGCCTGTTAACATTGAAGTTGATCTCTCCAATTCACAATCTGACGCCGTCCATTGTAATTCTCACCCAACAACAGATGATGAGGTGATCTCCAATCGAAGGAAGCTTGACCAAGTGGTAGAAATAAATCCAACCATGATGACAAACAAAAAATTCTTGAAGTACGCCTCCTCATTGAAGACAACAACAAGTAAGCTTCCACATGACAATTTCATCACAGATGACAACAAAATGTATCCAGAAGAGACACCTTCAGAGATTTTACACTTGAACAAAGTACCAGTAGTCGAGATGAAGAATCCAATAACCGAATCACTTGATGAAAACACTGCAACAATCAAAGAATCTTCGACACCAGTGCAGATGAAGGAAGTCATACAAGGGAATTATACAGACCACCACCAACAACAACAACCAGACTTTACAGCAACTGATATACGACCATCGCATCTCACTGGCGGCTATTCTAACAAACTAGACAAGACAACTAGAATGATCCAATGGGAAAATGTTCAAACTAACGAGGTGTACACAACTGTTGATTTTGTATATAAGCAACAAGACACCACCACTACTGATGATGATGAATGACAATGATGAAATGACTGTGATGAATCGAAATACAATGACAATACCGACATCATCTCACCACGATGAATCATTGACAGAAACAGACGACGACATTCAGATATCACTTGGACAACATACACCATATCATCACAATAAATCCACTGGTGGAATCAATAACACACAGGATACAACTGTGGAAAATGAAGAAGAAGAAGGAAGAAAGTGTCGTGGAACAGGAACACCAGGACATGAAGTGAATTTCAAACAGGAGGATGTTCAAAACGACAGCACAATAATAACAACTCAAAGAAGTCTTCTGCATCAGAAACAGTCATCACATGAATCAGAAGAAAACATTTGCAATGAGAAGAATGATGATAAGCATAGTGGCGATAGTGGCAGTGAAACATTTGATCACAAAACACCAACTCATCCGCATCCAGCACAAAAACCAGTGAAACCAATTCTACGCAGTGACGACAGTTCAGTAACAACACACGTTGAAGAAGAGTCTACATTCTACTCGACTATGCATCAAAGACGCATCATAGATCTTCAATTCTTGGATATCCTCAACAGAACTAGAATGATTGGTGGAAAAATGATGCTGACAGAATACTCACCTGAACAGTATTACAAAGAGACACTAATCATACCAGAATTACTCTGTCAAACACAACATAATTCATTTGAACAGAACCACCGACTCAATGATATTCATGGCAGTAGTACTAGCAGTCGCAGTGGTCTGCAGTTAGACAGAAACAGTGTTGAGGTCGGTTGCGGTGTATCAGAATATGCCCAAGATTCAACGCTAACCGAGAATGAGGCAAGTTATCGTTCTATTGCACCGACTAGGAAAGCTTTAAAATTAGGCGCCATTGAAGAGATGCTGTGTGCTCCACTAGTGAACACTGGAATTCATAAAGAGGCAAGCAGATCAGATGAAGCGGTTTTCGATGCTCTGAAAGGCAGTGGTGAAGAGAAACCAGTTGCCTATTTTGTAGAACAAGAGTGTCAGAATAACCAAGAAAGTCATTGGCCAGGTAGAATATATATGCCTTTAACGCCAACAATTGAAATTCAAACAACACCATTACTCGGTGTTCCATTGAATCAATATACCATGACAACATGTTGTTCAGTAGAGGTGAAAGCGGAGAAGGAGAACGGAGAGAGCAGGGAGTGGAGGAGGACGACGAAGAAGGAGGAGGCGACGAGTGACGACATCATATCTTCACCGAATCAACAACAACACCCAATGGAACAGTCGTCTAACAAGGCTGTAATGCAGAAACCAATCAACGCATATCTCAGTGACACACAGAATCAAAATTCTAAAGCAAATGATAATAAGCTGAACTTGATAACCAACTTTAGGGATAACAATAATAAAAAAGCACACCTGAAGAAGAGGAGTATATCGTTATCACTTGACAAACTGACACAATCACATCTGTCAATATCAAAATTTATACTACGATTGAAGATTAGATCAAGAAGTCTCGGAAGACTTGATCTGCATCATCTAAGCATTGAAGAGGGAAAAGTGTCAGGAGTAGACGATTCAGATGAGGAACAGATTGAAATTTCTGCACGGATACATCCTTTCAATTTCAAGGAGGGAATCCATAAGGAGGCGAATTTAGGCCAGACAATATTCGCTACGGAACAATCATCTTATCATGATGAAATTGGTTTCAGGCGAGATGTACCTCAAGAAAGGAGTGATGATAAAGTGGAGAAAACAGAAACTGAAAAGCGTCAGATTTGGGAAAATGAAGCAGTAATTGAAACACAACTACCGCCACCACCACCACCACTAAATACTGAAGACTCCTTCAGTGGTTCACAGACTAAACACATGGAACAATTAGAGGCAATCGATCAACCAGTTCTACTCAAGGAGGATAATACCAAAAACCTCAAATTCAAAATAGAAGCTGAGAAAACTATTTCTGAAATACAGTCACCAACACAAACACAACAAGAACAAGAACAAGACGAAGAGAGAAATGAGGCATACAATGATCACGATGACGATGGGGAGGAGGCGGCGACGGAGTCGAAAGGGTTGAGTCTACCACTGCCAATCGAAATCGGAGGAGGAGAAGGTAATGACTCATTTGTAGAGAAGTATGAAATTGTCCCTAGAAGAACAAATGAAGAAACAGACGACGACCAGTTGGAGGCTATTTCATCTGAACAAAGTGATGAGAATGCGGAAGAAGAAGACATGCATATGACGACAACAACTTCGAGTTGTGGTGAAGAGTCAGCGAAACATTCCCTACCCACATCAAACTTATTATTATTATCACCATCATCAATCAAGGAACCACATTGTGCGAATGAAATTATCCTAGAAAGTAGTCTGAGCTACAATGAAGTCAATCGACAGACAACTGCAAAATTAACATACACCACGACAACTGCATCGGTGCCAGCTCACATGAATGAATTCTTAACAATATCAATGACATCTATTGTATCACCATCAATCCACTATAGAAGTGAGCTAAGCTTTACTCATCAACATTCTGAACAGATAAAGACAAGTACACCGACAACTCTGAGTAAACTGAGTGAAACACCAGTGCCTACAAAGAGTGGTGAATCAACAACCAGCTCGAGTATTTATTATACTGCTCAAAGTAATCCAAGTGGTTATGGTGAAATTGAAGTAGAAGTCAACGAACAAGACGTTGTTCTTCCTGCTGCTGCCGCTGTTGCTGCTGCTGCCTCTGTTAGCGTTGACAAGAAGGATTCATATGATGAGTCTACATTGAAAGAAGAAGATAAAACTCCAATGCAGAATGATGATGATGCTGTGATAAATGAAGCAGAAAGAGAGACGACTGGCACAGAAACTGTCAAGGCGTCATCATCATCATCATCGCCATCGCCATCATCACAGAGTGAAGCACAACCTGATCATCTACACCAAATCGAAGAAGTAGAAGGAGAAGAAGAAGCTAGTGAACACGTTGATGAATTGAAAGAGAGCATAGAGGAGGTGAATGTGGAGGCTATTCAATCAGCTCCTGATATACTCAATTGCAGTTTATCAGAAAACATTGTAACATATAATGTTGATGGAGAGTTGAATGAACAAATCGCTGTAGTCAGTCTAGAAGTAGATCATGCACAACCAAGTGACATCGTAGACATACACGACATGGACACTGACACCGGAGTCAGTAAACAGCTTCATTTAACACAGATTACTACTGAACAGCCACTAGACGATGATGAAAATCATCAATTCCAAGAGTTGACTGATGCAACAGAGCCACTTGTAGACGACTCACAACCGCCTATAACTGTAGCCCGTACAGTGGAAGTAGAGCGACATCATGATGATGATCATGATGATGATGATAATGAGTTGGGTGAAGTTTCCATGAACAGACAACAACCGTATCAAACGACAAGCCATCCAATTAATATTAAAGAAACAAGCAAGGTGATGCAAGAACATTCAGCCAAATCAGAGAATAAAATACTACTCAAACAAACACATGAAACAGTTAAAATGGAAGATAAACAACCAGAAATGGAAACAATCCACGAAGAGAAATACCACGATTTGTACAATGTGAAAGATGCTAGAGAGAAAAATGTACCTTATGAAAGTGTCAGTGTGTTGGATCGAGTTCCTGATACAATCACTTCTGGACTGGAACGAAAAGAAGAAGCTGAGAGTCGAAGTCCCAAGTTAGTCAAAAAACAACACGCTGTTGTGATGAGGGAGACTCCTATTATTAATACGGCACCACCTCAACCAGAAGACCACGACAACGACGACGACGCCGCCGACGACAGACAAGCGAAGTCTACAAAACTGGAAATATCTAAAGTCCCAGTAGTCATGGACAATCTAACTCTTGCAAAAACTGATACAAGAGCAGATACACCAGTCATTGAATTCAAAACAGTTGATAGTCCTTTCGAGATTCGAATAAAACCGATGGAAGTATTACAAGCTACAGGGAAATCTGTAAGTCAAACATTTGGTGATGATGACGAGTTGGATGAGATAAAACACCCAGAAACTTCAGACATCCACCTACCTGAGATGTTCACCTTAAATGAATATGAAGATAAGTGTGAAGTGAAGGAGTTAACAACAACACGAGGCGAAGATGAAGAGGAACACTGTCAACAGATGAAACACGAGAAGGAATCACCACCCACCACCAATTCGGTGGTGGTATGTGTTCTTGTCCAAGTACAACAAACACCAGATACAATAATAATGAGAAAGGAGGACAATGAGATGTTAACGACCCCTGATGAATTGAAACAAAGTTATTCTCTTATGGATAATGAAGAGGAAGAGGCAGAAGGAGAGATTGTGCAGACTGAAGGAGTCGATATAACTGATTACTACTTACAGTCTCCACTAGAGGACAAGATAACTATTGACAAAGAAGACGAAGAAGAACAAGAAGCCTACCATGACATCAAAGTCAACCAATATCATAAAACAAATGTAACAACTAAATTCAATCTTACAGTGAATCACTTCGATATAGATGACAAGATGTTCTCATGTTCACAAAGTGGTAGAGACATTCAACCACCTACAGATTTGTCAAGTGAAACTCAAAGATTACCATCACCGCTCTCACCAACATCATCCTCCTCCTCCTCCTCGGAAGCGGTTGATCATCATGAAATCATGCAACGACAAGAAGACCAAGAAGAAGCAGAAGAAGATCCAACAATGAAGAGACATTTTACACAACTCAAAGAAGACGTGAATATCTTGAAAATAACCTCGAAATGTACATATACAAGTACACCATTGAAAAATTATTCATTGAGACAAAGAACTACAACAACTAGAATCCCCTCCTCCAGTTTTGAACGATCTACATCACCACAAGAATACACTGTCGCTTCTACTGTCTGCCTACCACACTCCGATGGTACAACCACTGCCAACACCACCACCACTGCCACATATTCAGAAAGTCCTTATCCAGCCCCAACCAGCTCACCATCGATGACCAATCTAGGCTGGCTGTTAGATTCCTCCTCCTGTCTAATAAGCCGATTTGATGAAAGACTGAATAAACATCTTATTGAAGTATCACCTAATAACAGGATATTTAAGAAAGCAACTATCACAGAAACCAGTCACCATCAGCTACCAACTATCACAGCAACTGATCAAAGTCCATCACAAGAACAAACAACAACAGCAGCAACAGCACCACCAACAACAAACAGACCTGAAGGAAATCAACTTCGTATAACCATCTCTCAGAGTATACGTAGAAATTATTCCTGCATTTCAAAAGATGATAGCCACACAGATAACTTGGTAAGCAGCACCAGTAATGTAATCACAGCCACACTACTACTACTACTGCTACTACCGGTTACTACAATCTACGACGTTCATTGTCTGAAGATTTCAAAGGTGATAAACATACTACATCACACAGTGAAATCAAGAAACCAACAAGCTCACTAGCACTAGTCGACGAGGAATCTGAAGAGATGTATATAGCCAGAAAACTGACTAACGAAGCGCTTAACAAAGCTATTGGCAAACTGTCTATCGGCTATACAGACATTCCCTCACCACCAACACCCCCACCAGCATTGAGTTATTCAACTCAAATTACACAAAAGAAGAACAAAGAAACACAACAACAACAACAACAGAAATTCTCTGATGAAGAAGGAGAAGGAGAAGAAGAAGAGATTATAACACGATTACGACAAGAATATAATATACAATTACCTTCAAGAATTATTGATCAGCATCATCGGTCTACACAAAGTCCACTGACTATAATCATGAGTACAACACCAGAGGATACAACTGCACCCACGCCAACAACATCAATCGATACACCATTCAAAATTGAACAAGATGTCTACAGTGAAGTGTCGAAACAAACAATCGCTATTCATGCTAAAACACGCATATACATGTTTGAAGCGGATGAAGGTGAAACAAAAGAAGAAGCACAAGGAGAACAAGAAGGAGCAAAGGAAGAAGAAATGAAAGATACTGATGTGTATCCAGTGAATGATGCAAATGTGATTCAGTCAATATCACAAGAATGTAGCCTCAATAAAACTGACAATCAAGTTGTCTTACAAACTTCACTATTAGTTACAAGTCCAAAGTATCTGACACAATTGATTGATGAAGAGATTACTGATTTCCGTGTAGAACAACAGCATATCGGTGTGATCAGTGGATCAGATTACAGCACCCTGGCGAAATACTCCCCAATGGACGGAGGCAATGACGATGACGACGACAATAACAGAGAGGTGGAAAATCTTTCAAGATTAAGAGAAAGGCAAGAGCTCCAACAACAACAACAACAACAACCACAACAACAATCTCCAGATGGAAAAACAGTTACTATCAGTCCTACCAGTGTTGTCGATGACTATATGGCATCAGAAGACAATGACGACGAGGAGGAGGACGAAGGCAAGTCGACACAACAACAAATACAAGAAGAATTATCTGCGCTTAGTTTTGCAGCACCATCAACACATGAATTCAGTGGACCAGTGAAGAAACGAGGCAGTGATGACAGAACACAAAATGACCAGCCGGTAGAAGAAGAAGAAGAAGAACAGGAAGATTTCACCAGACCGCCTGATTATGTGTTAACACAAACCTATCAGGAAATAAGTGCTACAGATGCAATAACTATCAGTCAGTCAGCAGATCATCCTATCAACGATGTGATGATGATGATGAAGACCGTGATATCTTGAGTCGACTAACAACACCACCACCACCGCCGCCTAATGACCACCTTCACCAACACCACCAACAGCAACAGCAAGAGAAATTACAGTCAAGGAATGCAATCAAAAGTGAAACAATCACTCAAGACTTTGTTACTATTTACGAAACACCAGAAAAGATTCAGCTGGTGAGAAGAAGTGGAACACCAGAAAGTCGAAGTAGGCAAGAATTAATAGAAGAAGGAGACGACGACGAGGATGATAGATACAGAAGTATGTCAAGACCATTCACAACAACACCCACAACAACAGCTGAGATATTAGGAGGAGGAGGAGGAGAAAAGTTCAAACTGACAAATATTCATGAGAAAGATACTCCTCCTCCCCCTCCTACTCCGCCTACTGCTACTCTGAGTCATATTCATTCAGATAATGATGAAGGCATGTTACAAGTGTCCATGGATATAGATATACAAGCAAACTACAAACTAGTTAATTCAACCAGTGAACTACACGACAAGGAGGAACCGATTACAAATTTGAATCTACATTTACCAACAACAACAACAACACAGGAGAATATTTTAACTCTGCACGAAGTTATCACCTCACCAGCAAAACAGCATACATCTACACCGACTAATAATAAAATTAATGCATCGGATAAAGCATCACCTCTACTCACAACAACTGCAATAACTTCACTGACACCAGAATCAACATCTGAAAAACAACGGGACGGTATGTTAACCGGCCTGAAAGAAATGCCTACAGCTATGCTGACAAGTCCAATGGAAATACAAACCACCACTGACAGGTCTCAATTGTCAATCAATCCACAAGTGACTTGTACCAATTTATTCTCCTCCATCATCAGTATACAAATAAAGCTAACACAAGGAGTGTGTAAATCAGCAGAAAGTCATAGTGAGGCAATACAATACTTTGATGATACTGACATGAAATCGAAGAGTGAACAACAATCAGCACTACTTTTACCGAAATCTATTGACAACACTACTACTACTACTACGACGACGACTACTGCGACTACTGCTAGTGCTAATACGACTACCAATCAGCTTCTTAGTGACATGCATTTCAATCAAGCTGTTCGAGAGCATATCGATTTAATGACTAGAATGTCTGACCAGGAAAGACAAGCATTGGTTAGTCAGACTAAGAAAAGAATGTTGAAAGATGCCAGCCGATTGTCAGATGAGATGATGAGAGAATTAAGCTGACTGCAGTCGTGCAAGCTATTCAATGGATAGCTGATATGACAGATGATCAACGCCAACAAATCCTCGCATGCAATCATACAGCAGATACTAGAAGTGATACACCACCACCATTCAGTGAGAAGGTGGCAACAGAAAATCAAGTATTCTTACCGTCGTCGTCCTTGTCTGTAGACATCGCGGATAAACATCATTCGCATATGAATACTCCACACGAGTTACAATGGAGTACTGTTGAAGCTAATTATACACAATCGATAGAAACTACTAGTCAAGTTGATTCTAGGCATACATACGATCTGGTACAACGTGACACTACTCCTACTACTCCTACTACGAATACTCCTACTACTAACACTACGACGACTGCAATGAAAGATCAACATTCAAGTAGAACTGTCGAGAGGAAGAAGGAAGTTATCGAACAAACTGCCCATCTACTACCTGATACTACTCTACTACTACAGCTAAACAAATGTACAGTAGTGATATATCAAAGAGAAGACTGCCTCAACTGCCCTTATCATCATCAGTATCACCATCAGAAGTAAACCAGAAGCAGTCGAGTAAATATCCAATTCAAAAGTTAACAAGGACTAGAAAGAGTCCATTAGACACACTACAAAACTCTGATCTACACAAACCACCAATCAATAACATGGAGGAGCGACAACCCCAACCCCAACAACATCAACAACAACAACAACGACCAATACACTCAGATTATAGTCTCCGTATAAATAAAATTGCTCAACAAATGGCACACAAAATTTATCCATCGAATCAGGCTACTACTACTACACTACCGCTACTACTATTGCACAATCAAGTCTATGCTCACCACGATCGATAATCCAGACTATTGAACGCGTTCAACGAGCTGAGAAGGTGGCCAATGCATTAGATGCCTTAATCATTGAAACTATTGACTATATTACGAAGAATTTACATAAAAAGTAATGAAATACAATAATAATAATAGTGTATACTTATGCATAGAAACAACTACTACTAACTAATAATAGAACCCACCCGACAACCCCCACAACCCACTTATAAAACAAAGAACCAATGAGACCAACTATTACAATATTAAACAATTTTCATTTATTCAGTAAAAATGTTGTTAGACATTTGTATGCGCGTGTGTGCATGTGTGTGTAGATGTGTGCATGTGTGAAGAGAACATCTTTATTATCACCATCATTATTGTCATCATCATCACAAGGAATAAAATTCTTGTGCAATAAAATACATTCATTATTATCATTATTATTATTATTATTACTACTATAATCACTGGTATATATATTCATTCTTTTCACTATTCTGATTTCTCTTTTGATGTTGGCATAGGTTAAGGAGGCCGTCGAATGACATTGCGTGCAGTGCAGGCCATTGCTCACTCAAGTGGAAGGTGAATGGGAAGCGATAAGTTGGTCGTCAGTGGGAGGGTGACATGGAGGAGACCGTGTGGTGAGAAGGAGGATGAGATGAGAGATCATGGTCAGTCGTGGAGCCAGTCATATGAAGGGAACAGCAGAAAATAGAAGAAAGTGTAGATGTGTTGTTAAAGCTGTATGTTCCACTCGGAACCCAAGGGAATAATATTGAATAATAGTAATACAGTTCGGAGAATTCTACATACCATGTTAGTAAAACTGATCACCCTTCTTATCCTTTGAGATAATCATAGGTGTACACCAGCCTAATGAAAATATCTTTATATCCTAAACACTAACCAACTATATAGGCGAGTTGAAAAGCTCATCGAAGCGTTCTGTCTGACTTCGAATTTGGCTCTTCTGAAGATTTGTTGAAGTCCTGCGCCATTCAAAGGTGATTTCATTTAATCCAGCTTTTGTAGAACCCGATTTCTGAATAACGTCAAATGCTGCCTGACGTACAAAATCCTATTGCTGATGCTTTTGATTTTTCAAGAGTGAGTTTATTAAATCAGTATAGTGTCATGATTAATTTAAGCTCTATTGTTTTGCCAATAATCAGATCATACATAATTGGGCTATGCTCTTATTACGCTGAGAAAGATAAATTAGATTTCAAGTATTTAGAAGAAAACACAACACCGTGGTAGTAAGTTGTTATAAGTACACAATATATTACGAAATTATGCTCATTAAAGTTGCTCAAGACGGCAATCGTCCGTCATTCAGCAAGGCGTATATCTCCAGCCTCAGAGGAACTCATTTTACCTGGTGCTGCAGTCACAGACGAAACTATAGATCTCATTAGAATAGATCCACAAGGCTTAGAAATTCTCTTTAGGAATAAACGTAAAACAAAAACCATAGAAAAGATAATTTGAGTAATGCAATCAGTAGAGAGAAAGAGAGAGATATGTAGATGACATAATAGTCATTTGTGATAAACCGACAGACGCCATAGAAATCCTAAACCAGATCAACTGAGTACAAAACAGTATATCACTAAGATACGTTAAAGAGAATAATGGTTGCCTGACATTGCTAGATGCACACTCATAACCCGCCGACGACAAAATGGGTCAGTAAAACGATCTGTCTACAGAAAATCCAATTGAACGGGATAGTATTTAAATTATCACAATTTCTGTCCACTACAGTATAAAAAGGCGTTGGTTAAGTGTTTGCTCAAGCGCATTCACCGTATATGTACTACCGATACAATTGAAGAAGAAAGACAACACCTCACTGAAATATTGTTAGATAACAATTACCCACTGAGATTTATTAGGCGTTATGGAAGTGTCAACCATAGAGCTCTACCAATCCAATCAGCTCCTAAAAAGGATGTTTACATATCCTTGCCGTTCAGCGGTGACCAACAAAGTCTGGTCACTAGACAAAGACTCAAGGCCGTCATTAATAGAATTTATTATGCAGCTAAACTTATCTTCATAGAGAAAACGAGAACTATGCTGTCCTGTATACCCTCACATTATCCGAACGATAGGGTCACATCCCACTGTGTTTATCAATTTACATGTATGTGTGGAGACACGTATATAGGGAGGACCCATCGGTCTCTGCAGGTTAGGGTTACAGAACACATTCCAAAGTGGCTGCAAAAAGAAATAAAATCGCCAGATACAACTGACCCCGGAAATAGATGTCCAGCATCATCTATAGTGAAGCACATTATGGACACGGGTCATAAGGTTGATTTCGACAATGCCTTCAAGACCATATATAAAACAAGATTGGGCCACATACTTAAATCCGTTGAAGCCTTGGCCATAAAAAGGCTCAAACCTGTCTTATGTGTCCAAAAGTTATTTGTTATTACTCTAAACCTGCCTTGGTAATCCAATTTAGAACCAAGGACCAATTTACTTCATGATATTTTCAACCACTTCTTTGCTTTGTTTTTCTCCTTTTGTCTTTCTTACCCACACCTTTGCGTCAGCCTACCCATTATTTGTGACCTTGACTTGTACACAATCTGACCTGTATTGTGATTATTCATACCTTCTTGCCTTCTATAAAAACTGTGTATGACAAGTACTCATGTGTGTGTGATCAGAATGTCCGAGATGTGTTGCGCGAATACATTACACGTTTCAGATAAACGACTTATTATTATTGTGTTGTCGAAATTCACAAAGGGAACTAATTGCAATCAGTAGAAGCTAATAGGCTTAACTGTGTTTCAGTGGTTTCGAGGTGCAATGCTCGTTATACCACGCACATTGTTCGGGGTTTGATTCGATTTCAGCGGAAAAACTGGCGCAAAATGCAGTCCAAATGAAAATACAACGACTAAAAGAAATAATCGCAGTGGAACCAAACATTCTATCGACAAAAACAGAAACCGACCCAGATGTTTCAGAGACTGAAAGAACACAAAAGTCACAGATCACAGAAACACAGCACAACACGGAGACACAAAAAGTGTCTTATGCTCAATCTAGTCAGAACGCCGACTACATCAGACAGTCACAACTCAGAGACACGCAAGCCAACACTGATCCACACAAACTGTCCTATGCTCAATCTGGTCAGAACGTCGACTACACCAGACAGTCACAACTCAGAGACATGCAAGCCAACACTGATCCACACAAACTGTCCTATGCTCAATCTGGTCAGATCGTCGACTACACCAGACAGTCACAACTCAGAGACATGCAAGCCAACACTGATCCACACAAACTGTCCTATGCTCAATCTGGTCAGATCGTCGACTACACCAGACAGTCACAACTCAGAGACATGCAAGCCAACACTGATCCACACAAACTGTCCTATGCTCAATCTGGTCAGATCGTCGACTACACCAGACAGTCACAACTCAGAGACATGCAAGCCAACACTGATCCACACAAACTGTCCTATGCTCATTCCGAACAATTTTTCGATCTCAGGAGACATTCACATAACACGGAATTAGATACCATTACTGAGTATGATATTGTTCATTTCGGTGGGAGTGTATTATCTTCCGCAGCTTTCTTTGGTGACCCTGAGTCGAGCTTTGATTTGGATACGAGAGCTTCTTTGTATTCCGTCGAGACATTCACCAAGCTTCCTTTAGAAACTTTAGGCCGAATCACTCCAAATCCTTCTGAATATGGTGCTATAACTCATAGGTTATCTCGGGATAATGTCGATCGTCAGTCAAGGAAAGGGTTCTCTATCTGTTCACAGAAGCAACCCTACATAATTTCCGATAACCAGCATGTTGACAACTCTTCCATTCCTAAACTAACACCAAAGTCTTTATCTTTTGCAAGCAAAGACTCTATTTGTCGTGGTTCATTTGTTCAAGCATCACATGAAACCAATGCTTCTACTGAGGATAGATCTCTATATACAAAGAGTATTTCTAAGTCAGTTTCACTTGTTGAATCGAACATATCACCGGAGAGTATGTTAAATTTGACACCGATGAACAATGTTTATCCTATGCTAGACAGAAATATCCTGTTAGCCGGTGAACACCAGTCTCAAAGTACTTCAGGCCTGGCATTCTCCAGTCAATTATCACCTCCTCCTCCTGAAAGTACAAAAGTGATCAACTCCCATGGACAAGATGAACAACACCAGCTAACTTGTCATCATCCAAACTGTAGATATTATCAATCTCCAAGAATGATGGATAACTACTATCCAAGTGAATATCAGTCAGCTATGCTTGAAGGTGAAAAAATGCTCAACCATATAATGAAACCAAACCCAACACTGTCCACTGATAAACATGAAAATCAATGTGATTGTCAATCTTGTCGTTTGACCAGGCGATATCAAAACGGCATTCCAGCATATCTACCTGAAAGATACGATGATACCTCGGATGAATTGAATGATTTCTCTGAATTTCAACAAATCACTATGGCACTGTTGAATACACTCATGGCGACAACTGAAATGTTACGTACACAACTGAAAGTAAGGCAAGCAGCTCTAGCATCACGAAAATGTTGCAGTAATAGACAAGTAGCTAAAGACAGAGACAGATTTGCACAGACTCAAGGATGGAATGAAAATGCCATGTGTAATATTCTAAAAGTTCAACATTCTTGTACTGAAGAAGATTCTGATGAAGATAACTTGACTTTATCGATTTATAGAGCAGAGGACAAAGGCATCAACTATCGACAGAGGGAACAGTTAACACCTCTGTCTATTCATTATCATGAAAACATATCCGAGAAGAAGAAGACAAAGAAGAATGAGGAGAAGAGGCCTGCTACCAGTACTGCTAACACTCCTTACCCCATATCAAGTAGGAGGATTATGGAAGATTCTCTGAACTGTAGTAGATTCATTACACCAATATTAAAAAATTCTTCAACAAAATATATTCAAACATTATCTTCAGATATATTGAAAACCAATGCACAGAGAATAAATC